ATTTTGGAGAATATCCGCTCACTACGTGACTGAATGTGCATGGAACATTTTATGTGGTGTATCTTTCATGTTCACGGGAACACTCCCCACAAAACGGATCGATTCCATTTCTGACACTAGCTGTGTGGCACAGCAAGCTGGAACCTCTACTATATAATTCAACTTTAAACCCATGGCCGGCTTCAGTACACAACATTACCATTCAGCTCAGCCCATGGCTACTAAGAAAGTGGGCTTTATGTCACATATGCGAAGAGCGACGCGGATATACATTGATCGAGACTTGTGTGACCATGTCTAGCAAAAGTGTCGCTTTTCTGTGAGAATGGATGTTTAGTGTGCCGGATGAGGTCTGCCGCCTGTGTCTCATGTTCTCGGTCTAACGCTACGTAAAGGTTCGTAAAGAAGCCGCGGGAAGGTAAACAAATTATGCAAAGCAAAACTCCTTTGACAGATGATGAACTGTGCAAGCAGACCAATGCCGCTGTACGATCGAATGGTTTGCGCCGCCTTGAGGCGGTGTGGACAAGTGGTCCTAGTTAAAAGTTCGTGCTAGTGCGATCAGCACTAGGGACTTCAACGTCTCCAGCTGTGGTACGTTTTGTCATGCACGTGCCAATGGACGCCTGAAAATAAAACACATACGGAGAAACGCTGCATGTAAGTCCGTTTGTAACCTATGCGCTGTGATATTTTATGTGCGAGAAACAAGGCATAGCATTCGTCACCAGCTTCATGAACACCTTGGAAACGCACGTTTACGGAGAGCGAACACACACTAGAGGCACACAGGGAAGACTGGCACGCGGCAATATAGAACGGCGTGCAGTGGAGCAAGAAGCATAAACAAGGTATTGCTACCAAATGAGAGCAGCACCTGCGGCTTGGCCCGCGTGGCTTACAACAAATGTGATAATTTTGGGAGATTTGCTGGTAGCATTTGTCACCAGGGTCCTGCCGTCACATCTCAGATTAACAAGTGTTTATTTGTGTCGACTGGTGAACACGTGCGTCTATCAGGTGAAGGTATTCTGCGCTCGGTAGGTACTGTGTGCTGTACGGTACACGTACACTCGTCTGGGCATTTGGGTCATATGGTCAACTGGGATCGGTAGCGTAACCACAGCATTACCCACTAACAGCGCGATGTTATATCATAGCCCTGAGTTGGTCATATGGATAACGCACATTTTAAGCCAATTGCAGCAATGACACGGGACGATTAAGGTCGTTCCCAGAAGGCAGCATTGGCGCTTGGTACTAGGTAGCTTTCTCGGGTGATGTATAACTGTAGTTGCGTGAGTGCCACAACAGAGGGCTTCCGCGCAAGCCAGACAAATTTATTGCGAAACGAGAAATGCAACTATGGACGTGTTTTCGCTCTTTTAAATGTGCTCACGATGACGCATTACTGGATGTCGCCACTCGTGGGTTGTCGCGTGCATCCTGGTACACATCCGGATCATCTTCGAAGTCAATGAACCATGCTTCTCCACAACTGGCAGTCTTGGGCCAGGCTGCTCACTTGTTGACGGAACTTGTGTGGTAGCTTATCTTACACTAGCTGAGGGTAGGACTTCATTCTTCATTGGGCCGCGATCTCACTTAATATCTTCGTGGGTCTTGGATTTCTGTTCTCTGAGCTAGTGATGCTCCGCCATTGGAATAACGACCTATAGAGCTTGTCGAGAGCCCACAATTTCCCTCAGGATGTGTGCAATGGGAAACACTGCGCACAAAACTAGTAGACACGATCTGCCGCTGAGCGGCCATGTTGTTGGCTGTTTATTATGTCGGAAACTAATTATCAGAAACTAAGCAAATGAATGCACACAATCCACGTCGCATATCAGCCTACATCAAGCACCCGGCACCACTCAAAGGCCTTGTCAACTTTTCGAGACATTGTCTGGTACTTCCCGCACCGGTCTACACTACCAAATCAAGCTGGCATTGCAGCATTCGGCGTCACCTAGCTTGGCAGGCACTTCAGGACGAATAATCTTCTTGGGCAGTGCCGTTCACAAAGGGATGGGCACCAAGGGCATAGGGCTAAGGGCTAACTCTATTCAAATTGCTACATGTGTCATTTCCAAGTAAATGAATGTCAACAATTACAAAACCCAGAGTGGGGTCCGCTGATTATCATGATTGTCCAGCGAGGCCTTTCACTATCCTAAAAAAGCCCCCTTGTTTGAGAAAAAGGCCTTCTGATACATGAAGGCATTCCATAATTAAAAACAGCATGCCTTCGATTCACGATCGGCCTCCAAACCTAGCCAAGGACCTCGTTATCCCAAAACAGGACATGCTGATGTGAAACCGCGGCCATCTGATGCGTGGAAGGGCCTCCTGGGCATAGAGGGTGCGTCCTACTAGGACGCACCCCCCTAACCCAGAACAGGGTCCTCCTAGATCGTAATGCGGCCTCCCAAGACAACGAATGGGCCTCCCGAACATAGCATTGGGCCTGTTAATCTAGACCATGGGTTACCTTATTCAAAAGGTGGTCTTCATAGCTGTTAATATGCATTTAAACGCAAAAGGCTGTTCTAAGCAAAAAAGATATTCAGTGACTATACTCCTCAAAACGTCATCACTTGATGACGTCATGGAACACTTTTAATGAAGTCAGAGTCTCTGCCAGACTGGCCGTGTTAGAGCTGCCACCATAGCGGACGGGCTGACCCACTTATGGTACTTGAACTTGCCGAGAGGTGGCTTGCTAACTGGTGCGTATTTGCTGAACCCGAATATCGCCTACTTGCGTGTGTGTTGGCCCTTTCTTGTGGCGCTCTTTTGCAGGTGTCCGTAGTTTTATATATTTGCTTGCATTCACATCATCGGTTATGGAGCTTTTCTTAAGTTATTCGATACCCAGTATCGTTCCGTACCAATTCGTGTCACAGCCCAAAGTCCTGTATGAATGTAGCACAAGTCTTGATTCGTGTTCAAAATTTGCACTGAACGTATCGTACCGGCTGCACGCCAATTGATGTAGCTTGGTGTCACGAATCGTACAGACGTACTCCAGAATCGAATAGCTTTATTATCATTTATCATTTACCTAGGGCGCTACATGATGGTGTTGGCGGTGTTCGCGTGAAGTTTTATGACTTGATGCTTGACTAGATGACCTTTAAAGGGCTGCGCGAAATGGTCTGTACAATTGTCTTGCGTCAAGCTCGGGAACAAAAGCGTATAAGGCTTGTGTTAAACTGTTACATTCAGCTACTCCAGCTTTTGAAGGGCCAGAATTGCCTGGCCGCTTCGTAATTTGGCTATCTGGTTCGACATTTAGTGCGCAAAGTTTGGGTCCATTTACCAGGACGCCAACCCGGAGCTCTCGAATGTCAATCCAGTTCATCAACGCTCGCTCGGATAGGGGTCAGTTTAACCCCTAAAGGTTTTTTTAAATAGCCTTCGTATGGTGAGGTTTTACTGCACCAAACTTATGCTATATGCAAGTGAAAAAGAATATTTGGGTACACAAACTTATATGTGCCTAGTAAGGCTGCTGACGTACGGCAAGCTAAATTCAGGCCATTGCTCTCAGCGAAGAGAATTCCTGGGGAATCATGCAATCTGACTGTGACAACGGGGTGTTAGACGATGCCATGCATCCCTGAGATAGTTTCTCAGACAATTATACAACTAAATTTAGGATCATAACTACTTTGTTCATCCTTTGGTCGGGTATGAAGAGCAGACCGAGGCTAAAACTAAATTTCATTCTTACTCGAGAACTTGCATAATGGAGCAGTTTTTATGTTCATTTCATACTTGTTGTCACAGGTACGTCCACAGGCATCTTATAAGGGCTTCGTGGCGGTCAGAGAAGGACACTGACCTTAAATGACCGCGATCAGTCTTTTACTTTTGGAACGTGCCACCTAACATAATCCTTAAAGATTTATTTCAATTTTCGTAGGTTTTTGGTAAACGTGACTCGCCGAATATCAACTTAAGCCACTGACCTGGAATTCACACCAGTAGCCTTTTAGCCTTAGCCTTTCAAAATGCATCAATGTCAAAGGCGGCTGCATGAAAAGGACTTACAGCACTTCGGACACAGATATGGAGTTTTACTTTATTTAACCTTCCCTCCAAATGTCATAACCTAGGAACTTCAAAATGTGAGACTAATAAACTCGCACACAGGCTCACCTACCCCGTTAACTTTGTGTCCCTCAACTCCGGCCAGGGCGTTGACTAACTTTAAGAAATAACGGTCGCATGTGAGTCATATCTGCGCCAGATTTGGGGACAGGAAACTACATAGTCCTTCTTTGTCACCTCAGGGCCATTCCTCGCGAGGTCTACCAACGCCGATTGCCAGAATGTGTGCTAAATTATCCGACCCAAAAACTGCCGGCTACCTTGCTGCACCCTTGAGTCCGCAGGCGAGTCATCAAAGTCAGAGCACATCAAATATATTTTTTGCGAGTCATAATCGGTTTACCGACAAGTCTTCTTCGGCTACACTGCGTCGTTGCTGATGTTCCAAACTGATGATTCGATTTAGCTCTGACGCTCCATTCGGCTTCGCCTTTGTTTTGCAGCTGAAGCGCGCAGCACAGACCACTGCGCCTGTCTGAATGTCACAGTGGGGCCGGCGTCTGCAAACACGCGCCGGGTGCGGCTGGGACCGCCGGGAGGGTCACGGCTTGACCCCGCCGATAACGCCACCGACCGCCACCGTCCTCTGTCTTTTGATTACCTAACCTAACCTAACCTAACCTAACCTAACCTAACCTAACCTAACCTACCCGTTGCGCCGGGTGCGGCTGGGACCGGCCGGGAGGGTCACGGTTGACCCCGCCGATAGCGCCACCGACCGCCGCCGTCCTCTGTCTGCTGATTGATCAGGGGCAGTGACGGGCGAGCCCGTGTTACACGAGTATCCGGGGAGACGGGTAAACACGCCCCGGGCGGCGGGTCGGCCGCCGCTCGGGGAGCCAGTGACGGAGCGGCGGTCAGCGCGCCTCGCCGCCTCCAGCGCTCGCCCTGTCGGCACCGGCAGCGCCCACGCACGGTACGCCTACAGTCAACATCCCTGGTCGGGCTGTGTGTACGAAGGGATGGATTATGACATGTCACGACCGGAGATTAGGCGGTGAAAGGCTGGTGATACGCTAGTGCAGTGCCCTTGGTGAAAATTTCATAGTGGGTGACTTTTTTAATTCCTCACGATTAAAATGTCAGGGATCCGTGCCCGCTGCCCTTGCCGCCGAAGGCACTTTCACGGCCAGTGTCTGGTATGCGTCAGCTCTCGTCACGTGGCCGTAGTTTGAGCATTCATCGATTGGGCTGCGCCGGTGACCAGGTCAAGTGCAGGCTCTTGGCGTCTGGCCACTGAGTGTGCCCTGAGTGTCGTGCGCTGGACCCAGGGTGGGCTTGGTCTCCCCGTCTGGGGTCAAAGACGCTGATCATTTGTTGACTGCGCTACGATATAGGTTGTCAGATGAAGCTCCTCAGTCTCTGATCATTACCATATATATATATATATATATATATATATATATATATATATATATATATATATACACGATGATATTATTCTTGGTACGAACCAGCATTCATGTGCGCTGCGGCAAAGCTAGAGCAGTCTTGGTGTTGTCCTCGGCATCCTCCCTCGCGGCTGCCGACACCGATATTTGGTTAGGTTTTTTTTGCTTCATGTAATGCCTGATTCAGTTAGTGGAACGAATCGCCTGACTGTATCCTCGGCCGCGCTTATAACAATAACTGTGTCGCGCGACGCCCAGGTTGTCACGTTTCCCTTCGAAAGATGCTGTGATCTGTTTATAGATGTGGCGCGATGTTGACATTGCATGTTTTGTCCTTGGAGCAGTCATGCTGCGGGCCATCCTACTCTTGGCTGCCTGCGCCTGCCTCTGGGACATCGCGGCGGCAGGTGAGGGTCAGCGATACCGCCCTGTCTCGGCGTCACCGGCCTCTCCGGCTGCAGGGCACCCACACCTACCTGTCTCAGCGCTTACCGGCCTCTCCGACTGCAGAGGCACCCAGGTCTTGGTCTGCTGCCCCCAGTGGTTCCGCGGGACTCGTCCTTCGGCTTGTGGCCACCGTGATGTCATCAAACGCTGACGCTGGAAGGGATGCAGTAGCGAGGACTGGTGGACATTTTATGATGCGACACTTGCGATAAGATAGGATATATGTGATGAGATATACCTTAGCTACATGTTTGACATTTTGTTATTGGTTCTCGAGTGTATTTTAATGCGGTTTTGCGTCTTTGGTAGATAAACTTAGGTATCTTTTCACTTGGCATCGGTCAAAATAAAACCTTGATAAGACAAAAGCATCAGCATTATTCCTTGAAAAGAGCAGGAAAATGGAGATAAAGTGGGATTAGAATGGAGATATAGTTATAACCCAGCTATATCTCCATTCTCCTGGTTTTTCGTCGAGGAATAAGGTTTATACTACTGTCTTATCTATGTGAATAATTTTCCTCGTTAATGCACTGAAAAGCTTAAAAAATAAAGACTTTTCAATTGGGGAAGCTCGTCTTTCATATGCATCTCGTTCTGTCGGAATTTAAGTTGTGCATCGATAGCCATGGCAATTTCAACACATTGACGGCGTTCTGTAAGATAATCTGAGCGCCGCAGGCTAGCGAGATGCTGACGTCATATGTCTAACGATGTCCGCATCCATGGCTTGAATTCCAACCGAGGCTGGGCGCGTTAGACCCACATCAAGTGTTTACAAATTCGACCTATAGCTAGTAAGGTTAACACGTAGCTACGTCATATAGCAAAGGCTTCTCGGCGTGCACTAGATATTTTCCCCAGAAGCCCATGAATCCTGCCCACTTTGAGACAGGGCTTCCTGCAAAGCCTCCAGGACCGGTTAAGAATAGTACATCATTTGATTTCGTTTGCTGCATCGTCACCGATCGGTTGGTATCAGTTAACAGCGTCCGATCATCCATACACCAGGCAACACGAATGACGAACTTCTCGAGCACCTTTTTACGACGTGCTGTCGAGTCTTTGACCTGTCCGCACAGCGAGCGTGAGGATCGACAGTTGACCTGTTGTGTTCCCGGCTGTGTTCCCGTAGGTGTGCTGGAGATCAGGTGTGCCAATGTGGAGGCGGGAAGGAAGGTGCTCATCCCCAGCTCCGCCGCCAGTCTGCAGGTCAGAGCGGCCTTGCCCGGCCAATCCTTGTCTCAGAATGGCCCAGCGATGTAATTTGGGTCACGAACTCATAGTGCGTCAGGTCCTTCCAGGTAACGATAAAATGACGCCACACAATTACGCGCTGAAGACGTTTCATATTCAAGTGCGGTGCTATCGGACCTCAGCCTGCTCTGCTGGCGAGTTGCTCTGCATGACAAACATTCGATAGCTCGATCAATCGGCATTTCCTCCTAGATCACTCCAGTCTGATGGAGAGGTTAGTAACAAAGCGTTGTAGATATTATACAAGTACAAATTGACAAATATTGATGAGACATTTCACGTACCATTCACATAAATTGCTCCATAAAACACGCATGGTGTATCGCATTGAGGATGACACCATGTTGGTCAATTGACCCCTTGACCTAAGGGCAGACATGCACACATTTTCATGGGAATTGCACAGCTCTATATCCATACATCTACTCTGCAGGCGCTACACATATACGTATCTTTACATCTGCTGTACACCAGTGCCAAACTAATGTTTTACATGCAAGTGTGTTTAAGGACACAACCCTTTAAATAATTCGATGCGACCCTAACTGAGACGGGGTGGATGCGTAAAAGCAATGTCTGGGATGTAGCACAGTACTCTGAACAACACGCGTCATTTTCGGAGCCTCCCCTTCCCGGCAGGGTGGGAGAAAGGTGGCGCCATGTGGCCTCAGCTAAGCGCGTCGTAAACCCCCAGTGCAAAAACCGACTTCAGTCTCACCTTGTCGCATGATCGCGATGAATTTGATCGGGCATATGATTTAGAGGGGCCCGAAAAGAGGTCACTTTCGGCCTGACGCGTAACCGGCGGGCCCACAGATTAACAGTGCAGCAATAATCCACAGGCCACCAGTCTGACCTGCCGGGGTCATACGATCCAGGTGTATCTTTCGTCCTTTCAACCAGCCTGATCGGCCCACTGGTTCCTAAGAGATTCGGGCAGAGTTGAAACTCCCCACCCTCAGTACAATGGACGGCGAAGAACACGCCAGCAACCGCTTTATTAACATATCACTGTTATAATAGTATGCTTGTTGGTACAGCTGACTTGCGATCTGTCGCTGTCATGTTCACATTACACACGCTTTTGCGAGCCTCCAATGACTCAGACAAGCGTATGTAATCGGTGTATACATGCATCATGCCGTCAATGGGGAATAATGAGTGCGACCAGTCGACACACGGAGACGGACTACCATCGCAGTATCATATATGGCTCCCCACCTAAATCACCTCTCGTCGATTAAAGAACACCTGGCCTGAAACTGTTTGCCAGCACGGATAGCTGGGAAGCAGGTGTGTTGACATTGGCGGCGTGCTTGACCGCACACTTCTGGGCATGGCACGGTGAGGGAGGCGCCGCGCCAGCTGACAGCCGATTGGCACGGCGTGAACTGTGTTTCACTCTGTTACACGCTGTTGTCGGATCATGAATCATGTCCCATCAAGACACAACGTCCGAGAGCCAAAAGTGAACGATAAGTGCATGATGCCCACAGCTGAGCACTGTTCCGTCATCTGTTCGCCAGATTATCGCAGTAGCCCCTACTATATTGTAATTTACCCCAGTCCGGTCTATGTCCGTTGTTGTGTCACGGTTTTTGTGTGCGCACCTATGGACGCCAGTGAGGCTGACGATTATATTCAGGCACTGTTGCTTCTCTTCTTCGAGAAACTGCTGAGATGGGTGGGTGCTTTGACATGGTACAGAGGTGACTGCTGCTAATTTTCTCTTATGATCAAATATTGCGTATAGGCCCACCCGCCAGACGGCCGAGCGCTGCGGCGCAGTCTAGGTAGTACGCTCAGCGCGCTCGCGCTCTACTGGAACCGACCCGGTGACACCATGGATGCAAACTGTACGGCTGTAATGACTTAAAAGCCAGATCCAAGATATCCAGGTAGAGCGCTCAATGCGTCGGAGCTCTGATGGAATGCACACGATAGCAGTATAATACACACTGTAGCTGTAATGATTGTGCTGATGGCGCTATCAGTGGTATGTAATACACTGACGGTATGTGAAGCCGTGAATGGCGGCACGGGTGAAGTACCGCAGTGTTGAATGGTGCCTCTGGGATCATATCGATACACGGCATGGATGCATTATAAACGCTGTAAGCCGTGCTGTGCACCAGACACCGAATGGATTGTAGGGAATGTTCCACATCTGAAGATATTCAAACAAGCGTCATATATGATGAAACAAGCTTGCTTATAACTGTTTATATACTTTAAGTGGAAAAGACTGGTCTTAAACAGCAAAATGCTTCTGTTTGGTAAATATACTCCTCAATATGTCATCATTTGATAACGTCATTGCACCTTGCACCACGCTAAGAGCCAACTGATGGCCGCTATATGTGGAAATTGCGCGCACTAACATCAGATATGAACGACTCGACAATTGTATTTTTCGTGGTTTTGATCACCGCATGGCCAATAGAATGGCGGCATTAGAATGTCGTTTTATGGCGTCATTGATGGCTTGATGACCTTGAAATAGTCTCCCCGAAAAAGTATGCACATCTTCGCGGACGTGTAACTCAAAAGCTAGAGGAGTTAGATTTAAAGAAGAGTGGTGCTGCGAAGCGCAGCAAATGATCTTTAAACTGAGCATTTCATTTAAAAACCCCATACATGTGTGGAACATTCCCTTTAAGAATCTCTCGATTGTGTCACGATGCGAAGGCTTATACATATAGACATGTCGTTATTTGTGCAATTTTACAAGCTGGTCATAGCCAGGTAAGCTGAAGGAAAGGATGAATGTCTCTAGGGTTGTCAGGGAAGCCGAAGCTGCGCATGAGCTCACCAAAAACGATAAAAGATGACGAACTGGTCCAAGACTCCCCGAATCGTGAAGGTCTTGAAATTCTAAGACTCAATGGGTACTCGAACAATGGAAGGATTAGGGGCCATGAGAAGTCCTTAAGGCTGGAGTATTTGCTCCTAGCATTTACATAACAAACACCGGTAGCGAATGGAGAAGGCATGCTCGGACAATCAGGGAAATTAGGAAACAGCAGGTGCGCGACTACAGCACCGAGTGCGGGCGTAAGTGGAAGGAGCCTGGGTTCGAACATGGACTTAAGTTGCTGCAAAATTGGATGAACATTTAATGAAGCCCAAGAGACTCAATCAGGCCAGAAAGTCCACAAAATACAATCGTGTACCCCTATTTCATTTACGTAACCTCAGCTGGCTGAAATTACCTTCCAGGCTAGTTGGTGTCCTGCAAACGTCCCTGCAAACGTAAATTGTTTTGCTTGCAGACGCAAGGAGGTACACTACCGCCACAAACGAGAACCATCCGAGTCCCATTCATCGCAGAGTGATTCGTATCAATAAGCAGTGTCAGTAGCAGGGTGATACGTGCATACATGAGGATCATTATGCTTCCACGATAAGAACGTCTTCCGACATAGCTCATCTTTCAACTTTGCAGCACGATTGTTGCAGTCGGTAGGACGCCCTGTGCCGTGCACAAGATGCGAAGTGATAGCAGACATTTGAAAGGTGTGCCTAACCAATTACTAGCATGGGAACCGTACGAGAAAGACGGCTTTGGCCCGGTCAAACGGGCCAGATGACAAGACTGAGCGCCGCCTCACAGTAAAAGTGATACCAAAACATACACAAATGCGATCCATCGCCCTTCGAAGCCCACGCGAAAGGTACTGGACTATCCGTCCGCCGTTAGTTTAGGAGGAGACGTCCGATGACGTTCAGCGTTCGCGCGGACATTGACTAATGACGTGCTTTAGAGATTGACTAGCCTGGGATCTGGCAAGGGCTGGTGATTTTCATCGGCAAAGGCAATGACTGTTGAATGATGTTGAAATCGTTCGGAAAAGTTGACGTTTCGGAGGCTGACGAGCGTATTGGGAGAACACAAAGATCTTCTAGATGGATATTGTTTGCAATGAACGGCGCTATGTGCCTATGGAGTTCTCATGACACGATTTGCTTGGTTTTTTAGATCTTTCTCACAGCGCATCGCATTTTAGGCCGGTTTCTGAAAAGGTGGCATTGTCCGCTCCCCGGTTAACCTCTGGTGCGCCTGAGGACCAGATAACGCTTAAGTCGCTCAGAGTTTTGCAGACGACACAACGCTTGCGCCGCACGGCTGCTACGTCTTCAACTGCCCTGGCAGCCGAGACGGTAAGTCGCCAGTGGTGTGGTGTCGCGAAATAAGTTAGAGGGCTAAACATGAAAAGAGACGGTTGAACGTGCTACCAAAATGTCTCCCAAACGGGGTTCTCCCTGGATTTGGTACACTTTCTTCTCAAAGTTTAACGTCTGCCCCCCAACTGAGAAGCAGTAATAGCTGTGCGTCCTTAAAAACGCTATAAAACAGGCAGAGCCAGAATTTGCACATGATAGTACATGACATTCGGCACACAGCGATCCATGCTGTTGCCAATACGACCAAAAACGGGTCCAGGTGCCACACTCTTTTGCTTTGGACACAGCGTGCTGGACCACGTCGCTGCACCGTATGGCTGTTGGCACCTGGACCTGTCTTGCACCGGTGTTCTTCAGGACAGCTCACACTTGGAGAACTTCATATATTGCAGGATGATCCAAAGATTCAGGTGAAACTATACAGCGTGGCCCAGGCAAAAGCTCATCCCCGTTTTCCTCAACAGCGACAGGTGTATTTGCGCAGTCAAGCCTGCGGCGACCTTGCCAATTCAGTGGCATCGCGCAAATACCATTGCATTTTGTTTGTCGCGTCTTTCAGGGAAAGGTTCGTCCGACCAGTCCAGTGAAGCCCCGTCCAATGAAGTCCAGGGAAGTCCAGTGCCGTGCGCGGTGTCGTCCCGTCCAGTAAAGTCCAGTGTCGTGCGCGGTATCGTCCCGTCTAGTAAAGTCCAGTGCCGTGCCCGGTGTCGTCCCGTCCAGTAAAGTCCAGCGCCGTGCGCGATGTCGCCCCGTCCAGTGAAGTCCAGCGCCGTGCGCGATGTCGCCCCGTCCTGCCGCCGCTCCCGTAGAGCCGCTCCTCGTCTGGATCGATCCCGTGAATTATCCCCAGGGACGCCCAGCAGAGTATCCGACTAGTAGCGATGTGGCACTCCGAGGTGATGCTGACAGACTCGCGTTCTTCAAAGAAGGGGCCGCTCGGACGTCGGTCCTTCCTCGTGGCGGCTGAGTAGACTTTTATCTGAGACGCCCTGCACCATATTTTGTTGTATTAAAAGCCCCCTCCCCCAGGGAACAGCTTATACGTAACTGTCATGCAAACATTGCAGCACAATTTGACGAATCATCCTTCGGGGTGCTGATCACTTCGTGAAGGTGGGGTCAGTGGCTGTGAAAATGTAAGCCCTTGAAAAGCGGGACCAATTGAGCCGAGCCTGGCCGGGCCGCTCAAGCTGCGCAACTTGGGAATTAGTTCACGCACTCGCTCGCTCGGTCTGCATCCTCACCCGTAACCAGAGCCTACAGCTATGAAGTCGGGCACCTTTCAGAAGCCATGCATACCATACCGCATGCAGACCACTGTTCATGCCAATCCAGTGAAAGGACTGCAAAGACGGTTGAGCGAGCGAAGGGGCTTCTTGATGTCGCGCTTGCGCTATTGTATTGATCACATTGCTTGAAAATTGCCTTGTTGGTGTGGCCGAGCCTGAAAACCAAATTGAGGAATTTATTTTAAAAAACTATGGCTTTGGTGGCCGTCACCAAAGTACTGAAGACATGTCTTCACTTCTATGCGTGTTTTGTGGACACCCTGTCTTGACGTAGCCCAGCGCGTGCTGTATTCGAGACCGGTTTCGACACAGACGACGGCGGCCACCTGCCGCTCGGCTGCTGGCACGCCTCCGCAGCGCGCCGCATTGAAATTACTTATCGATTTGTGTATGTACATACAGCACCGTGCACCGTATGTACATACAGCACCGTGCCTTTGTTTTCACACCTAAACCCTGTTGGGACACCCCTGCTACGAAACATTGCTGACCTGGTCCGCAAACAGCGTGCACCGGCTCGCCTCAGGATCGCAAGTAGCTGACAATGGCATTGTTTATGCGTTCCGCACCGGACTTAAGTCGCCACCGTCACGGCCGGTGATCGCCGCGGTAATGACATTGAACAACGTGTCGATAGGATGCTCGGCGATACAAACGTTATTGATTCGACCGCGCAGCAAATGGGAACCCGGGTCAGGTCCGTGTTTGTAAAGATGTCGGCTCTAGCGCACGCTGATGCTGACAGCCTCAACAGAAACGCGCGCCGAAAGCTATCCGAGCGGTCCGACACGAAGAATTTGTGCAAGGCGGTGCCAACTTTGTTTGGGATTTGGACGAATGTTTTTTTTTCGTAAGCTGTTGAGTGCATTTTCGAGGAACATTATGCATATGTACGTACATATATATATATATATATATATATATATATATATATATATATATAAGACAGCACTGATAGCCTTATTCCATGTGGAATACCCACGAGAATGGAGGGACAGATACACTGTGTCGGCACGGCCAGAAACCATCTATCTATATTACTATGCCGTGGTGGCTATTTCTTCACCTCGGCACGATGATGCCTGCTCGGCACGATGATGATGTATTCATCACGACACGATAATACCCGGGTTAACGGGTATTCATTTTTGAGCAATGACATTGCCTGTGACGGCGACGCCCGGGCGGCGCCCAGCCGGCGGTACGGTAGCGGTATGGATAACGTTAGTACACACATCTCTCCATTCTCCTGGTTATTCTACGAGCGCCGGTGGTGGCGGCACTGGAGTGGCGTCTAGACGGTAGTGTCGAGGCGACGCCCGGGCGAACGGCACCGGGGCCGTCGCAGGTGCCACGCAATGTTGACGTGCGTTGAGAGCCCGCAAAAGCCAAGCTTTACCAGCTTCAGCCAAGCATCCGTACGTCTAAGCCACCATCGCACCATGTTTTTATAAAGTTTTGTATAAAGTATATAACAACATGTCGCACGTCTTTATGATGCAGGGGAGGGCTGAGGAACCCTTAAACACCAGTTGCTCTGTTACAATGTCGTTATTTTAATAGCTATGCACTTCTGACCTGCCATTGACACATCAATGCGAGTCATAATGTTTCGTAAAGTTAATTTTCTTCGTGTTATAAAGCATCTCTGTGCTCATTTTAAATGCATTATGCCTGTTCACATGCCTCCGTTTTGCGACGTAGCTTTTTATGATACCATATATATTTTGCGAGCCAAAAGGCAAGGCAAAGGCAAGACTTTAGTGTGTCGTTCACTGTTCCCTTTTGGCTTGTGTTCTGGTGGTTCTGTGCGTGCAATCGCATCAGGCAACGCTGTCAAACCCTGTTCGAGTTCTTGCCGATCCAATCTGAGCCCCCCCCCCCCTCCCCTTCCCCCTCCCACTTCCCGATCCAATCTGAGCCCCCCCCCCCCCTCCCACACCTCCTCCGGCCTCCACAGAAAGATTGTTGAAGGTGTTTCTCACTCCAGTCCAAGCCACTCGGTCAGGTCACCCAGCCCGGTTAAAGAGCGCACACGTGACTCGTTAGCCCCCCTGACATAGCTGTAGGTCACCAGCCAACCTGAGCCCACCAAACATACTGGATACGTCAACACGTATTCAAGCTCGGATTAAGGTCCCGCCGCCCGAGCACAGGTTTTGTCCGGAAAGCCGTTATGCTTGCACCATTCGCTACTTTTTACATGGCAAAAAAAAAAAACGTTACGTGCTACCAGGTCATTCTACCAGCCGCTGTTAGTGACGTCAACGTACTGGCCGTGTAGTCGAAGCTTAAATAGGCACGAGAATGCCCACGAAATGCGAGAGAAAAAATGCAAGAGGTGTTATTTTCAGCCACATGTGTTATCTTAATTAAATACTGCATTGATGTAATGGTTTCAGACACAAATGAGTGAATCAGAGCGATGTAACGTCAGGGACTGGGCAAGAAGTGGAGAGCATCGACAGTAGGCTCAAGGCTTGCCTAAAATGCTAGACGGGCGGTGGGCACACCGAACAGCGCCTTGCCTCTTCGGTGTCTGCGATGCCACCGATAATGGATGAAAGCGTGCGATTTTCTCGTGGAATGTCTCATGTGCGCGTGCTGACTCTGGGTCCGGCAGTTGTTGCACAATGAAAAGCTCGGAATGTGGCGGCAGTAACTCAGTGTTGTTTTGACCTCAAGCTCGTGTGCACTGCTGCCCTTAGTGCTAACGTCGACATTGGCATGGCGCGGTCATGCGGTCAGAAAATGCACAATGGTCAGGCTGGCCTGGTTACTAGATGCGTGTTTACTTGCTGTTGTCCCGTTACCATACTACCACGGGCTCTGATTGCCGCAATAACCAATGCATGAATGTTTTGTGAATGCAATGTTCACCTTTGAGGCCCTTTGTAGTTGCTGGTTCTTGGCTTATGTTAAGGCAGACCTGCAACATTTTGACAGCAGTTTGCTCCTCTAAAAGCTTTATAAGCATGCCGGGTAATCATAAGATCCATCGCACATCAATGCGCATTGGCAAAGGCCATTCTTGGCGACTGCCGACAAGTGCCAACTTTTGGAAATGCTCGTGATTGACCGGTTCATTGACGTCGGTGCCATTGTCTCATGGTCAATCTGAGATCAAGCGTGAGGACTTGTCTCCGAACTGTGAGACATCAGGTGCCCCGTGAGATCACTGGAAGTGCAGAATAACCACAGAGCCTGTCAGGGTCTACCGAACCCCTTCTGCAGGACCTCTGACCTCCCTGTGTGCCCCATCAGGGCGTCGGCAGGCTGCCGGCGGAGCACATCCATCGAGTGTGATGCCCAGCCGCACCTGCCGTGGGGAGTCGGACGCTAGTCTAGCACCAGAATCTGACACCAGAGTCTGACACCAGAGTCTGACCTGCCGTGTTCGCTTCAGGATGCCTGCCAGCTACGAGTTGAGATCACTCCCGAACAGAGCGGAACGTACTCCTTCATGCTCGGCTTGTCGGCCCTGACGGAATTCATTGGACGCGAAGACATTGCCGGCTCCTACATGGGACAGCCGAAGGTCTTTGCACTGGTGAATAAGTCAGGTAAGTGTGCTACGTTCTAAAACTGACCCACTAATTAGAGCAACTATATAAATTGATGCCTCACTTACATTAGATTCAGATAACTTTCCGAGCATTCACTGAACAAAAATAGATCACCTGTTGTTTGGGGAACGATCACGTTGGTGTTCTGAGTCTACCACCCGGGGATATTTATCGGTGTTGCCTTAACAGCGATGCTTATTTGGTAGACCAGCATTGCTAGCGGCACCTTACGACACGCTGCTGTTAAAGCCAGCATTGCTAGCGGCACCTTACGACACGCTGCTGTTAAGGCCAGCATTGCTAGCGGCACCTTACGACACGCTGCTGTTTAGGCCGTTGCTTCCCGCTTGAAAGGAACAACAAACACGGACTACTAGTAGGATCAGCATGCAGCGAATCAATGCCAGACTAGCGCTGGGAAGCCGACCCAAATACATTGTTGCCTGCTCGGCGCCATCCAGCGGTCACCGCGTGCCCGCGTGCCATGAGGCAAGTCGGGTGACAAGCTCCCGTGCACATGGCCATTATATTCGAGCTGGCCTGCACTGCACTGCCAGCATTATATCGAACGTCCGCGCCCTCACTCGGCCTCCCCGTTCAATACCCGTCTGGCTGACGTGGAGTGTCGCCCGGCCCTTGACCGCTATTCGCGCTGGGTGGTCGGCACTGGGCTGCCGGGTGCTGTTTGGGCGCTGGGTAGTCGGCGCTGGGCTGCCGGGTGCTGTTTGGGCGCTGGGTAGTCGGCACTCGGCTGCCGGGTGCTGTTTGGGCGCTGGGTAGTCGGCACTCGGCTGCCGGGTGCTGTTTGGGCGCTAGGTAGTCGGCACTTAGGTTGCTGAGGTGACTTGGCGTTTCCGGGGCCTCGGAGTGTCGAGGACTGCTGGCGGCGGTTCTGAACGTGGCCCATTCCGAGCTTAACAGAGTCAGAGTGAAGTATGATAGAATGAAAACATAACTGGAACAAGAAACAGTTAGTTGGAATCACCTGAAACATGAATCTGATTAGACATGCATTGACATGTCATTGGACAATCATGTCTTGCGATTGGTCATGGACATGTGTCTCGTTGTGTTATGAAACATTAACATGCTAAGAACTTATTAACATTAGGTCACGTTAAAATAGTAGCTGAATGTCTTCGCGACGCAACACGTAACATGATATCGTGCATTGAAATATGAAATGCTAAAGTCTGATTGGCATCGGCACGCGTTACAATATTCATGGAATGACTTATTTACACGTAAAATGTTTGCATATAAATTGATATAGTGCACATAAACTAAATGTTATTCGCCACTAATAAAACCCTTCGTTCGTACTTTACCTGTTGCAACAATATTTAGGACTTTGAAATGCTTATCGTGATGTTCGAATACTAATTGAACGGTTCTACAGCGTCTCACTCCATAGCCTGTTGTGACAGCGGCTGGGATCGCCAGAGATCAGCGAAAACGCTGCCCGTCGAACGTGCTCCCAACATCTCTGGCGTGTGTACATTCCAGAGGAGTTCGCTGACAACAACCTGTACGCGATCCGAAGCCTGGTGCTGGACGACATCCCGCTGGCCGGGGTGCGCTCGGCGCTGGGCGCACGGTACGGCACTGTCTACCTGCTGGCCGCGCTCGACAACGGCACCCACTTCGTCGACTCCGTCTCGATGGCTGCCTCCTTTCAGCCCCCCGACGAGAGCGGTACGTCGGCCAGGGCCGTGGGTGTTATGATCACTTATACCTCACGTTGGCGAGTGGCTAGGCAGCCTTTACATAGGGCTGGTACCTAATTTAAATTGATCTAATCTGACCAAACCTAACCTAATCTTAAGTTCACTGGTGTCACGAAAGCAATGATCGTCAGGTGGAATGGTGGGTAGTTGGGGAGAATAAGTGTCGTGAACTGCAGGATACCATCCGGGGACTACTACATCGCCACATACCCTCAGGTGGGTCAAGTCATTACCATCCTTTCTCGGTCAGATCACCTACTCGGCCACACCAGCCACGCCGTGGGGGATGGGGCAGGAGTACTAGAGAATTGAAGTGCTGTTCGGGCACCTTTCCATATGGGAGACAAAGAACTGATAGAGTGCAGAGAATAGCTACTCACCTTATCCCAGACAGCTATCTGCCTTACAAAGATCACTTCAGGAAACTAAAGCTCCCATCCCTGTACTACAGGCTGTGAGGGAACATATGCTCACATCATACGAAATCCTACACCGGATCTTTTACCTGGAAGCTGGGCACCTCTTCGCCGTAGCAACCGAAGGATCAATAAGATACCCCTAAATAAAAAATAAAAATACCCCTAAAGATAGCCAAAGCGCAGGCATTCAATTTTTTGAGCCATCACAGCTCTAGCTCCAGAGTGATCCACCAATGCAACAGCATCACATAATTAGTGATGAGTAGTAAACGAATTCAAAACAGTGGCAAAAGCAGTAAACGAATTAAAAGCAGTGCCAAAAGCAGTAAACGAATTCAAAACGGATCAGACGCTCATTAGTCGGACAAAGCATGTGATACACTATCATGTAATACACTATCATGAGTTGAGCTGGATAAGATCGGATGCCACAGGCCCAAGCGACCTTTAAAAATCCGAATGCTTTAGGTGCGAGGTACAAGGAGCAGGGGCTTCCGAAGGGTGAAGGGTGGAACTGGCCGTCCGTGTCTGGGGCTCAATGATTTTGGCCGCAGTTCACTCAGCAGCGCGCGTCCACAGTTTTTGTTCTCTCCAGGCGTGGATCTCAAGCCAGTCATCAACGAGATGGACTCGTGGACCAAGGACTACGACGGCGCCGTCGTTGTCAGCTCTCTCTCGCCTCGCGTCCGTAAGTGAACTGTAGACCGCGCGTCTCTCTCTCTCTCTCTCTCTCTCAGCCGAGTCTCTAGCAGATCGAGGATGATACGAGAGAGATGCTCGAGAGAGAGATAGAGAGAGAGACGAGAGAGAGCCGAGAGTAGCGCTATTAGAATAGTCGCTGAGATGAGGATCGAAGAGAGCGCCTCTAGCGAGAGCTCTCAGCTATCTCTATAGATCGCTCTCTCTATCTCTACGCTCTCGATATCTAGCTATATCTCTCCTCTCTCTCTCTCTCTCTCTCTCTCTCTCTCTTTCTCTCTCCATTTCGCCCTCCCTCCCTCTCCCTTTCTCTCAGCCCGCCGTGCTGGCTCTGATTTGGCCCGGCGTCTCTAAGGCTTGACTGGTGTGGCCGCTGAAAGTTTGAACTCGTAGTTAAGACGACGGGCTCACTTATCGACGTCTACATACGTCACTGTCCCCGACGAGGGTCATTTATCGCAACCGACGCGAGACATGTATCACTGAGCGCCCAGGCGTGCGCTCATGACAACAAATGACGCCATAGTCGAACGTCGGCTCTGGCAATAAGGCTGACGATATAGCGGTCTTTAACCATCGAAAAGGACAAATTCGCCACCGATTATCCGGCCTGAGAGTCAGAGTGGGATGACAGCACGCTCCGCGGCGTCGTTTGCCCAGCGCCCACGTGCGACAGTGTCTCCGTTGGCTGACTGTGACCGGCTGGTGCGGCGGCAGCGGTGCGGATCTCGGTGGAGAACCTCGGCTCGACGCCGCTCGCCGCCCGCACCGATCCGGACGCGCTCAAGGTCTGGGTCTATGTCAAGAGGATGATGATGGCCGAGCACACGTTCGGCTCGCCGTGAGTACTGTCCGGGCCCGGCCGCAGCTGGCGCGGCGGGCCGTGACGTCGGCTGGCGGGAGTGGCACTGTTTTATGTTGTATTGAAAGCTTGTGTCTAGAAAGGAAAATACATGCGCGTTATAATCGCGCTCCAAATTTTCTATGCTTGGCCTCTACAGAAACGTTGTGATGCCTGGTCAGTGATATTACTTGAGCATGCTCCTCAAAATTAAACTTAAAGAAGTTGTCTGAAGTGGAGTTTCCCACCTTTTTGTACTTCTCGCTTATTGTTACATCAGACGCCTACGATTCGATCAGTAACACCAGCTTTCTCGAGATCCTTCTGAATAGCTCAGCATTGTTATTTGGAGTGGAAGCTCCTGGGGAGAAATCTCTTTTGACTTCGTTCGTCACCGTTATGAAAGTGATGTATTTCATTGGGATTGCCTTTCCGACGTGTGTGTTCTATAATGTTTGCAACGCACTGATGTGTAAAAAAATTGGGTAATAAATGGCACAAAAGCTAGAAGCACTCTATTTATTTAAAAAATATGCAAACATGAAGATATCATCCCGCAACTTCAACCAAAACGCTATACTATGGCTTTGATTTCTTCCTTATGGCACTCACCACAGCCGCTCTTTTTGAGGCGCACTTTGGTTTTGAGAATGAGAGTATCATGTGACCCACATGACGCACAGGCTCAAACTTCGACCAATGCCCTGCTTGGTAGCATGCCCTTGCCCACTTGCAGGGAAGCAGTACAGTGCTATTAAAAACGTTGACGACGTAATTTGGAATCGACAGTAATTAAAATGCATATCTAATCATGTCTTGACTGTACTGCAGTGGCAATACCCAGCGTTATTTTTGGACAAAACTAACCCTGAGGCTTCACTAGAGTACGCTGTTGAAATATGCCCGAAAGGTTGGGCCTTTCCTACAACCACATCATAATACGTCGAGATGATATGAAAATGGCTGTAGTATGAATGGACAGCAGAACCCGGCGTTCGCGTACAGACCATACCACTTGATGGACTTTTTGAAATGCTTGAACGACCTTGAGTCTAGATGTGAGGAAAAATATCTGAAATTTATGGTTTTGCGCGTTTGACCCGTACCATTCGCTTGGCTGAAGGGCGGTCATTTTCAGCCTTTAAACTTATAATGCACCAAGGGCTATTTCTTCTTCGTATTTTGATTATGACAAGATTAAGTGTGTGTTTCATGAGGGCCTAGTACTGTTTTGCACCAATCAAAACCCTGGGCGTACCCGTACCTGGAGTTCGTGCCACAATAGCGTCTGAGAAGATTGGGTCAGTCCTGAGTTATTGCCGTATCAAACGCCATATAAACGGATCGGACCACAGAGGCATGGCATGAGTCGTACCCCTGGCCTTTTTGGCCTGCCATCGAATGGTATTGCTCTGGCATCTCACCGGACGACTGGGCGCACTAAGAGCATGCCACGTGTCGGGGGTAGACGTCTCACCTCTGAGCGTGACACGTTCGGGCCTCGGTGCCTTCTAAAGAAGACATTCTACGGTGCCCACCTACCGTCGGATTTGTTAGAACCGTCGGTATCGACCCTCAGGCACCTGGCTGCGGTTCGCGAGCCTTACAGTGTCCACTTATCCCCTGCAAACAGCCCTCGGGTCTCACTGTTTTCAAAGCGATGATCGGCCGGGGTCCTTTATTTGTTCGCCTGGTGTGCTCTGTTTGTGTGCCGTTTCCATGGCATCCGTCGACTGAACAATGGCCGAATGTGTTTGGTAATGCCACACAACGCAGCGAAGTTTTGCAATTAGCTAAGCTGCGAATATTGGTGATTGGCGCCTGATGGACAAGCCGCAGTGGGAAGGTACTATCCAATCCGTTATCTTGTCTGGGGATGCGCTGATGCCGGACTGGACCAACAAAGTAGGCCAAGGACGTCAGCAAACTACATTCGGTGTAGCGAGACGTCACATTTTTTAAAGCGAAAGCAAAGTGCATCGATGTTGCCTCGCTTGGCGTATTTTGTACTTGGAGGCCCGTTTACTGAAAATAACGAGCCTTCAAAGTGCTGCGAGCTGGTTAAGCAATCATCGGTATATATATATATATATATATATATATATATATATATATATATATACATATTGTCATGTGACACTCCAGCTTAGCCCGAAAATGTTGTCTCATATTAACTGGTGACCATGAGCACCATCTCGAACCGTATTGTTCTCTCATGATGTACGAGCGTGCGTATGAATTAAGAAAGTACATATGTATATGAATATATGTATGTGTATAGATATATGCATATGTGTATATCTGAAGAAGATAGATAAACATGTATATGTTTACGTTCGTGTATTATGAGCGAACTTGACGTTTCGAGGTGGCGCTCATGGCCACCAGCAAATATGAGACAACATTATCGGGCCAAGCCGGAGTGTCATAAGGGGATGAAGGTTGTCGTATGACAGAGGTGCTCTATTGCCCGCTCATCACTCGTAGGGAATATTAACCCCCATGAGATACCCTATTTTTTCCGGATAATTCAAATGCCTCAGGTTACCAATATGTAGCGTTGGATTTGAAAAAGTTGGAATCACGGCATATTTTTAGAAATCGCTTATATATATATATATATATATATATATAGGTAATATACATATTTATGCTATCTATATATAGGTTATACACATATACATGTTATGTGTAGGTTATTTACATATATATATATATATATATATATATCTCTCTCTCTCTCTCTCTCTCTCTCTCTCTCTCTCTCTCTCTCTCTCTCTCTCTCTCTCTCTCTCTCTCTCTCTCTCTCTCTCTCTCTCTCTCTCTCTCTCTCTCTCTCTCTCTCTCTCTCTCTCTCTCTCTCTCTCTCTCTCTCTCTCTCTCTCTCTCTCTCTCTCTCTCTCTCTCTTTCTCCATCTCTCTTTCCCTCTATCTGTCTCCTTGATGAGTCATGTACCCTCACGGCATCTGTCTGTGACCGTGTGGAATTACATCTTTCAGTTCGATGCATATTATACGCTGGCCGTTACGCGCTGTCACAGTACGCTCCAGCGTCACAACAGCCGTCTTTGTTGTGTCTGCGCAGGCTGGTACCGCTGACTGAGGAGGTGGCGATGCACAAGGGCCACATGCCGGCGCCGGGGGATGCGGTCATCAGCCTGGCCAACGTGTTCGGTCAGACGGAGCCTGGCAGTCCCGGTACGTGCGGTCCCGGCAGTCCCGGCACGTGCGGTCCTGGTAGTTCCGGCACGTGCGGTCCTGGTAGTTCCGGCACGTGCGGTCCTGGTAGTCCCGGTACGTGCGGTCCCGGCAGTCCCAGTACATGCAGTCCCAGCAGCCCCGGTACACGCGGTCCCAGCAGTCCCGGCACACGCGGTCCCAGCAGTCCCGGTACACGCGGTGCTCGGCCCTCGCCGACGGCCGCGGTGGGAGACCATGCCGGCCGGCGGAGCGACACTCACTGGACGGCTGCCCAGCCGGAGATGCTGATCGAAAGGCATGTGATCAGCACTTCCAGAGGAGTGCAGTGATCAGGGCGTATTTGTCCAGGTACGACAGCGAGCCTGGTCCACGCGGCTGGGGAGGCCAGCATTGTGATCGGCGGACGGTGGTTTGTGGATGTTGGGACGTCCGTGGACACCAAGCTTGACATCCAGTCAAAACTAGTTCCAGACCAGCCCTGACCAGGTCCTGTGACTTGATTGCGCCATGGCACTTGCCCACATCTGGTGGATCCGTACCTGCAGCTGATGGAGCCCCCTCCGTGCGACATGACCCGCTGACCTGACCTGACCTGACCTGACCTGCGCTGGCCGCAGCGATCCCGGCCGGCTCGTCGATTCCGCTGACGCTGACCGAGCTGGCCATCTCGGACATGGTGTGCGGAGACGCGGTGGTCTTCATCAACGTCGACCCCATCGGCGAGATGACCGACACCAACATGACCAACAACGTCGTCGGCATCCGGGTCCGCAGCAGATGCGACTGTAAGGCCGCCGATTAGTCAGTGGAGGGTTACTTCACTTGTTCACGGTGGGAGAGGGGCGATGGCTGATAGGAGAAGAAGGCAAATATATAGATATAGATAGATAGATAGATAGATAGACATATATATATAAATATGTGTGTGTGTGTGTGTGTGTGTGTGTGTGTGTGTGTGTGTGTGTGTGTGTGTGTGTGTGTGTGTGTGTGTGTGTGTGTGTGTGTGTGTGTGTGTGTGTGTGTGTGTGTGTGTACGTGCGCGTGTGTGCTTGTGCTCGTATGTACGTTTGTTCGTATGTACGTGTGTGCGTGTATGCGTACGTGAACGTGTGGATCACCGCATTTCGCTGTAACGTCGGGCACACATTTTTGTCACTTATAGGCCGGAAACATTTATGCTCATGAGAGGCTACGGCCGCAATGCGTTCTCTGCTTCCGTTCATCTTCACCCTGTCATCCCTTTTCCATGCATCTCCGTGCCATTACGGCATGTGTAATATGCCGTAATGGCACGGAGAAGCCGAAGAAAGGCGTGGGCGCAACGGCGAGTCAATACATACCGCACACAAACGCTCTCTCTGTTGACATTGTCGCATCATTCATCCCGAAAGCCGCGCCGCGGCCTGCGCGAACCGCTGCAGCGAGAGCGTGACGTCGCGGCTGTGCATCACAAGACCACTGACCACTGTGACCACTGTGACCACAAGACCACCGTGCGGCGTCCACCGCCCGACATCCCTCCGCCCGCCGTGGTCCGCGGGCCCCGCCCCCGCGCCGGCCGCGGTCGGTGACCCCCGCACGCCGCTCCAGCCACCGGCGGCCGCTGCTTCCTGTACGGCATGCCGACGCCGGGCCGCACGCTCGTGGCGCTGCACCACGACTACATGAACCAGCCGTCCAACATGATCGAGTACCGGGCGGTAAGCGGCGCCATCCGGCCGCTCCATCCGTTCGAGATGACGGCCACCGAGCGGGTGTCGCTGATGCACTCGGTGGTGCTGACGCACGCCGTCCAGGCCGAGGTCGACCGGCTCCAGGCCATCGGCAGGTCAGTCTCCAGCGGTGGTGCTGATCGGCTTGAGCGGCGGTGCCGATCAACTGAGGCCGGGCGAGCACTGATGTTTTGGATGAATGTCGGCGATGTAACGCAAAACTGAGAGTTCAAAGATAAATGGGCAATTTATGAGAAGAATAAGAAAGCAATTTTAGGTTGCCGAACCAGTGCAAGTCACCTCCAGATCGATGATCGCTTGCTTTTTAGCAAGGGGTCTCCAAGCCTGACATAATTTAATCAGGAGCTTACCGGTTGTGAAGCAGGGAAAGGTGGTGCCGGGATGTGTTTGTAAAGTCAGCACCACGGCCTGTAGGGCTGGTAGGCCGCCGGAGGGTCAGACGAATAGAATTCTAATGCCACGGACGGTCCGTCAATCAATGTCTGAAAGTATGAGGTCTCCGTGCAGCAGGATATTAAGGTTACTCAGAGGTCGCGCTGACAGGTCTTGGTGACCCTAGGCTTATGTGTCTGCATATTCGGGTGGGCGTGAACTTGAACGGTATATTGTTATGTTGCTAATGCTGCGCTAGCCACTGAAACTTGAACGTGAAGCTAATGTCTGAAGAGCAATCAAAGCATTTTGGATCGCTTCTCGTGCGCCGCCTGGAGGCATATTACTGGTAACTCGGTCTGTTGTCTCCGTCAAAACAAAAAAAGCCGGCCATTGCGCTGGAAAAGGTGTCAAGTCTGGAATGGCGCTTGCCTGCTTACATCGTGATATATTAGCGCAGCTCTTTGACTGTACAAAAGTGGTCAGCCATAGCCGCCCCAGTCACGATGGCAGAGCGTGGCTACACTCGCCTGCCGACGGAAGCAGACATAACTCAACACACCACCGTCGCTGGGCCTGGGACGGCCTGTGCAGAGCGCAGTCTCAGCGGACCTGAGCAGCCCACCCCACCCACCCTCTCTGCCCGCCCTCAGCTGCGACTCCGCTGATGATGCCGAGCCGCCCACCTGGGGCTCGTCGATCCTGGGGCGTCTGGCGGACAGCATGGCCAACATCCGGGCTCCTCTCCTCGCCGTGTCGACAACCGTAAGTACCCGCCGTCGAAGCTGCCGGCCACTCAGCGCTGCTTGGCGCCTGTCCCCATTGGGGGACGTAATGGGCCTGTCCCCACTGGGGGACATAATGGGTCTGTCCCCACTGGAAGACATAATGGGTCTGTCCCCGCTGGAGAACATAATGGGTCTGTCCCCGCTGGGGGGCTTAATGGGTCTGTCCCCACTGCAGGACATAATGCGCCTGTCGCCACTGGAGGATATAATGGGTCTGTCCCCACTGGAGAACATAATGGGTCTGTCCCCACTAGATAACATAATGGGTCTGTCCCCACTGGGGGACATAATGGGTCTGTCCTCACTGGAGGACATAATGGGTCTGTCCCCACTGGAGGACATAATGGGTCTGTCCCCGCTGGAGGACATAATGGGTCTGTCACCACGGTAAGGCATAATGGCTTGGGTAAGCCCCTAGGTACCCGTATGGAGTGGGTAACGGTTTAGGTTGGTGCAGATTTAGGGAAAATTACGGATACTGGTGCGGTCATGGGTAAGACGTTTACGAAATTTCGTGCAGACTTTATGATACACTACACAATTTTAATGCTTGCGCTACTCTTCGTAACAATTAGCTACATTCACACTATTTTTGTAGTTATGAGCGCAGAATGCATGTGGATCTGTTTGGATTTAAATATTTTGATTTTTGCCTATAATTTAGAATTAAAGAGTTTGACAGAGGTCAAGGAACTGCCTGATGTGCTATCTACAAGTTATAAGCAATTTATCGTTACCTAGTACCTAAGTATATCTCTTTCACGACTAACGCCTACATTGGTTTTCGCACCGCGTCTTTCGACTTCGCTACGCGGCTATCTTTGCCGTCGTAGACTGATAGGAGATGTAACGCCATCTCGGCAAAGCAGAGGTGGTATTGCATCATTTTCCCCATCATCACAGATGAATGACCGTAGATGCACATGAGGATCTCTGCCCATTGACGGGAAAGCTCGCTTCACACTGAACATACAAAGGCCTCACAAAGTCATTTAGAACTGGGGACGTCCATCTATTTTTAAAAGGAGGTCCCCAAAATGTTGGATGTGTCCCAGATAAATGTTATCTTGCATTTGCCATTATGTTAGTTATAGCGGTACCGTAAAATAGAAGGTGGATGTGAGGCCAAAAACGTGGATGCTCGCCAAGACATGAAGCACAAGTAACCACAATGCGCATTGTCTTACAATGGACGAGACGTTGATAGCTAGAAAAGAATGATATAACCCTATACTGTCGACAACAATCGGCAATTTGTCCAACTATGACATGTTAAATGAACACCGACATAAGATTGCTACCTCAGTGCATGCATTTTAAGCCAATATCGCTGCCTTCGAATTTTATTCCGTCTCGTTTTCCGTCTTGTTTTTCGCGTGGAAATCGTATTTTGTCTTGGGTCTCCCAGTCTCACTGAGACCTCGGTAACCAGCATTATGGTTGCAGCACTGTGATTCGGTAACTTCATTCTCATAGCTGGACATCGGGTGGTGGCATATGTTGAGCAGTGGCAAAAAATCAATTCGATTTGATCGATTTTCACACATTGAATACAATCGGTTTTGTCGCCAGCTTTACGGACATAGTTCCTTCTCAGTTTTGACCAAAAACAAAGCTTTGATGTCCACACCCAGCAGACCATCACTGCGGGCCGATCACCCGACGTTTTACACGCGCTGGCATATGACGCGTCACCAGCCAGCCTCTTCGCCTGATAACCATTATGATGTCCCAGGGGATGAACGAGTCCGAACAGCTGGACATGGCGGCGCTGGTGGTGGAGACGGTGGGCCAGCTGCTGCAGCAGCCTGGTAGTCTGCGCACCATCCTCAGCACCATCATCCATGGCGAGGGCGACATGCGTTCGTACGTCTGCCCCCCCCCCCCCCCCCCCCCCCCCCCCCCCCGGCTGAAGCCGCTCCGACCGCCGCGGAGGCCCCCCTTCCCCCCCCCCTCGGTTAGGGGTTGGCCGGACGGTGGCGGGGAGTCATCGCAACACCTAATGCGCGTAGCCACTAATGACTCGTAACACCTCGTGTCGGGTGACGTGATGAGCTGGCCGCCGCCAGTGCTGCCCGTCTTCGTCAGAGAAACCGGTGGGGCGGAAGAATGACGTCACCGACTCTTCATAAGGCTTAGGAACCTTCAAAGCAGATCTGGAGCCTGATAGCTCACACTCTCTAAAACAATTTCCCCGAAATTTCGCCATGGTCCCCTTCAGGACTTCTTAGGTACGCTATGTATTTGAATAAAGATGCTTGGTCAGGCGGACTCCATTTTTCGGGTGGTGTCTCCTTTTGAGCTGGCAGACTTCCTGCTTTTTTGTAGAGCCTCCCGTGGATCTCATTGCGTTTTTTCGCATCATCTGGAGACCTCCTGTTGACAAACAGGACCGCTCGCTGGCCATACTGGCCATCCGCGGGAAGCACTGGTTTCCGCATGCCTAAGGGCTCTGCTTTTCATTCGGTAAAATGTGCTGTCCCGGCTACCTGGGACCTCCCAGGGATCCTCTGAAATCTCAAAGGGGCAAGCATATCTATTGGCAGCTTGACAGACGGCAAGAGGCGGCAGCGCCCTGGTGACGCCGCGCCTTTCGGCTGATGACGGCGAGGGCGCCGCGCCTTCTGGCGGGTGACCGCAAGGGCGCCGCCCCTGTCGGCAGTTTAAGCCGTAGCTCATGTAGCTCACCACGTGCATACGTTCGTTTGATTTTGTGCTGTTGTAAACTTGCGTACCTCTTAGCCTCGAGCGTCTGTTGGGTCGTGGGCTTAGAGCCTGTCCAGAGCATAATCAGCGTCGCTTTCTTTTTCAGACCTGGCATGGAAGGGAACAGGTAATTACGATCTCTTAACGTTTGCAGCTTGCACTTGTGAATTATGCTTGAAAATGACTTTTGTGATCTTACTGATGATTGAAAAACCCATAAAGCAGAATAATATCTCACAAATATATACGTCGGATGTCACCATCCTGCAAACGAAATCACAAATCTCTCCAATAACCCCCTTGTTGCCGGACCGATGCTGTATTGAAACACTGAACCGAGTCATTGCGACTGCTTTCAGACCGGGAAGGGGAGGTGGCGGTTACGACGGGTGAGTTGCAGCCATCGCATCACCCTGCCCATACAGGACACGCCCACTACAGCAATCCATACTGCTCTGCCCATACAGGACACGCCCAGTATAGCAATCCATACTGCTCTATGCATACAGGACACGCCCAGTATAGCAATCCATGCTGCTCTGTGCATATAGGACACGCCCAGTATAGCAATCCATACTGCTCTGTGCATACAGGACACACTCAGTATAGTAATCCATACTGTTCTGTGCACACAGGGTGTAGTAAAGCACATCACTTCGTGCATGCGGAACGCACGCAGTGTACAAGCGTTAGCTGAACTCATCTGCCTCGCTCGACGAGCACGCGCGTCTGGGAACAGACCATCCACTCTGAGCGCTGATGCACAGCGTGCGGACCGGACGCTAGGGAGCGCACGTGAGAACCTGCGCACCGGACGCCAGAGAGTGCACGTGGGCCTCTGCGCACCGGACGCTAGAGAGCGCACGTGAGCCTTTGCGCACCGGACGCTAGAGAGCGCACGTGAGCGCCTGCGTACCGGACGCTAGGGAGCGCACGTGAGCCCCTGCGCTCCGGACGCTAGGGAGCGCACGTGAGCCCCTGAACACTGAACGCTATATAGCGCGCATGAGGCCCTTGAGCTTCTGAGGGCAAGGCCACACGGCGAAGAACGATGGCTCGCTCTGAGTGGTGCCTCGTCTCGAGGGCGCTGAGTGATCAGTCGTGAAGACTCCCACCGACGACCCCGAAGAACAAGCGCCGGATCAAATCTCGAAGGTCGTCCAGCAGATGGTCTCGAGCCTGGAGACCTGCTGTGTGCCCGCACCGCCCACCGACGCAAGACTAAGCAGGGGCAGATACAGATCGGACTGGCAAGACCCAGACGCCCTCGTGCTGCCCATAAGCGGGGCCGTTACTCGTGCTACACCCAGCGGCCCACGACACTCTGCTCCATATACATACCGTGGCTCGATGGGGCGGCTGAACTGGCAACCGCGGTATCTGTAGTATTGGTCGTAGGGTGCCGTACCGCACGCCCTTGCTTGCTGTGAGCTTCTGACCACGTCATGTTGGAAACCTTATCGTGTGCTTGGCTGTTTCTTATTAAAAGGGTATCTCGTATATTCCTAACCTTTCACTCCGCACACCTACATAGCCACCGATAGATGGAAGCACCTAGCAAACACGCCTCACGCGTGGGCTAGAGTAGAATGGCCAAAAAGGGGTGCATGTGCTGATAAAAGCTGCCGGATTTCAGTGAGAATGGATACCCTGGCTATGGCGGTGACGGCAATTTCTACGGCTCTGGACACTACAGCGGCGGCTCCGGGTACTACAGCGGCGGCTCCGGGTACTACAGCGGCGGCTCTGGATACTACAGCGGAAGCTCTGGGGGCTATAGTGACTACAGTGGTAGCTCTGGGGATTATAGCGACTACAGTGGCAGCTCCGGAGACTACAGCGACTACAGTGGCAGTTCTGGAGACTACAGTGACTACAGTAGCGGATCTGGAGGACTATGGTGACTACAGTGGCAGCTCTGGGGACTATAGCGACTACAGTAGCAGCTCTGGAGACTACAACGACTACAGTGGCGGCTCTGGGGACTATAGCGACTACAGCGGCAGCAGTTCTGGAGACTACAGTGACTACAGCGGCAGCTCTGGAGACTACTACAGCGACTACAGCGGCAGCTCTGGAGACTACTACAGCGACTACAGCGACAGCTCTGGAGACTACAGCGACTACAGCTCTGGTGGTCCAGAGGTGTTCCCTCTCCCCGGGACAGGCGGCAATGCCGGTCCTGGACCCGCGCCACTAAACGCCCGCGTAGCGCGGTCCATCTTCCCCGGCGGCATGGATGTCGAGTGAGTGTACATAGACCCAGTATACATACAAGGCCCAGTGGTGTAGACATAGCCCCTGCTCACTGTCATGTTCCCGCCACCTTCGTCCATAAGGACTCGAAGGATGGGGTGAAACAGTTTCACTCCTGTCACCTACGAAGTTTGAAACCGTATTAATTGTCACCTGGGATCAAATATTACACAACCCTTCGCACTATAAGTCTCAATGCGGTAGATCACAAAAACAAAGACAACTTAAATGCAATGCGGCATAACCGTCACACATTTTGGCATCGGAAGTTTATTTCGCCCTGAAGTGTCATTTGCTGGACATCAAACACTGGATGATAGTTGAAACTTAACTCATAAGATTATCAGATAAAGTCACACTTAACATAACTACCCTAGAGGTGTGTGGTTTTCTATCCAGTTGGTGGTTTGAGGGGGGGGGGACTATGCCGCCTGCCCAGAGATGTAGCCTACTTTTAGTTATCATTTTTATCCATTAGTTCCCATTAATCATAATGTTTAAGGTTCAGTACCCCCCAAACTAATTTTGAGAGACTACACTCCTGTTTCCAACTGCGGAAGGAAAGTGCGTCAAATCTGGAGAGAACTGCTATAAGTGCATTTAGGAGGCCGGCACAGACATTTTTTCTTCCTGCACCCCGTCCCCCATCCCTCCTTCACGCCTACGAATTTTGCAAGACCGCATGCATCCCTGTAGCCCTATAGTTGACGATAGCATGGTTCTACAGTCACCTCAAAATAATATCACTTTTGCTTCTGTGACGTTATCATACAATGAGCTGGGAGGGTTGGTGACATTCACTATCCTCACATAATTACTGCGGGTGCAGGACTCGCGATTCTTGTGGCTGACGCGATGGTGAAAGCCCCATTGTTAGCTAGACGATAGCCCACCGGTGTAACAAGCCCAAAATTTTGTGCTGGTGCTGGTGTGTGACGTGGTAGTGGAAACTTATTGGTCAGCAACCCAGTCTGTGTAACACAAACTACGTAATTAACAGTGATAGAGTATTACTAGGGGGCCATTTAGGTCCTCTCTCTCTGTTGCCTATGAGGTCCGGTTAAACGGGATCATGTCACGTTTTACCAAACTGACTGTTTTGTTATTTTTTTGCCAAGCCCGTGGGGCATATCACGCCATTGCAGGACAAATCACGTTACTGTTTGCCCGCGAGTAGCTTAGTCACTTTAGTGGAAGCCATTATGACATTTGTCATACTCGCGAGTGGCTTAATAAGGTCGTCTGAAATCAGGATGTAAACATCGCCGTCATTAATGATCTTGGTACGCAAGGAATCAAGTAACACACCCATCAACGCATAAGCACAAGCGCATAAGACACTTATGTAGGAGATAACAAGCGGGAAGCACCGTTATCGACACGAGATCGCCGCAGTCTGGCGAGGGCTACTTGAGAAACAGCGTGCCACGCCCACCGCAACACACTTCGTAAATCAACGCAGTGATCAGGCACCTGTAACAAGACGTAAAACGCCGCTCTGTGTGCGGTTTTAAACGTCTTGTGCGGTGTTTACACCGTTCTGGGCGCTCGGGTTGTACAATAATTGCCTGATTGATGAACATGTTCGTGGTTGTTTGACATGCGTAGATGGATGTGCACTGCTTCTATGCTGGAGTTATGTCATTCGGCTGCCCAAATGCCTACCTGTCGTTGATCTATTTTTCTCTCTTTCGCTCCTCCAACGAACGTCACAGTGGAGGTAACCGAATGTGTTAAGTCTGGTACCACAAAGACACGCACATTTTTACTAAGGCACAACGTCTTGTTCGATCTTGATATGGTTTATGCGCAGGCGTGGCCTAAAACGCAGTGGAGGACATGCTGGCGTGCACCAACAGTGTGTGCACGCCGCTGCACGCGTTGCACACGCCTCTGCACTTCACGCGCGTGCATGTCATGAGTGACGTGGGTCGCTGACGTGTGTCGTAAGAGGCGTGGGTCACTGAGGTTATGAGTGACATGGGTCACTCAGCTGTGTGCATCCGATCACCCGTAGGCTGCCGGCAGCGCACCAGTAGCCTGCACGCCCCTCAGCGTGAATCCGTTTCATTGAAACTGGCGCTGAGCCGGCGCTGTTCGGCGTCCGCCGAACCTCTGCGCAAGTACGGCTGCTGCGCGCCAAACTCCGATGCCATTTTGTCTGCGTAGATCGCGTCTGTCACTCGTCCCCACAAACGGCTTTTCGAGTGAAGGAGCATGATATTTCAGAACAAATTATGGTTCACGGCGGAGCATGTGACGTGGCATGCAACGGCATCCATATCATGATATGCAATGCGTATAAGTGCGCATGCGCTGTGCAACCGTGAGTGTGTGGCCACGCTGCCTAACTGCGTACTATGTTTCCAGAGGGTTGGGGATGTTTCAACTTGTAGGGCATTTGCCACCAACCGCCGGGAACTTAACTGAACAGCATCTTCACATTTTTCGTCAGCGGCATTCTCCGTTTCAGATGAAACTGCGCATTGCTGCTGTCCATGAACATGACCCGCACCTAACGTCTGGGCATCGCAAGTTTGTGTCCTTGATGGCATACGCCCAGCGGCGCAGCCAGGCCTTGGCAAGGGGGGGGGGCAAAGGGTTGACAAAAGGCCTCCCGATAGTAAAAGCGACCCCCCCCGCAAACAAATCGCCGGATATTGACCATTTATTATTGAAGTCAGCTACTGCGAGATCAGTTTTGCCCAAAGTTTTAGTAAGGTTACCGACAAAATCATGCGTGAAATTATTGCGTGAAAGAAGTCGCCGGCGGCATCCTCTGGCCGATCCGGAGGTCCTTAGAGGGGTACATCACATCACATTGGTCCGTTCCCTGACACTGCAAGCCTCCTAACCCGCACAGCTGACCGCTGGTCGACGCATGAACCGCTATTAAGGCTACAGCATCCCTGCTCGCCGCAGGTGGTCAAACTATTGGCACACAGACTCCAGCTGGGCTTAACGGACCCATGCTGGAATGGGGTTGGAGGGCCCACCGTTCGGTACTGGGACCCTGACTGGCACAGGACTCTTCTTTTACCGCAATATGAGCACTTATAAGTTTCTTACGTTTCCTCTAATTGCCCAATGGCCGGACCATCGCAAGAGACCCTCTGCCATTCAGGCTTCCGTCTCCGCCCCTATTTAGCAAATATTTTCCTGTTTGTTTTCCCCTTTCCCGACTCGAGGTTCCTTGTTGACGCAGAATGACCACAGTGCCCTGTTAGGCACTATGAACACCTGAACGACACAAGAACCCAACCGATGCAAATCGGAGGCCCGGCCTTGTCCCTGCTTGAGAAGTGGGCCCCAGCGCTCAGAGCAGCCCCGAGTCGACTGTTCGTTTTTCGTGATCTATGGCCGAAATAGAGGAACGCACTTTCTCAGGGGTCCCTATCGGTGAAAGAGATCATCTTACTGACATTTGAGACCACGACTTCATGGGCGGGGTCCCCAATGTGACCTACAGCCAGCCCCTCGGATCCCTCAGCCATCCCATCGGGCCCTTAATCTTTGGTCTTTAGTGACCCCCGGCCCCTCTTCTTGCTCCTCAAACACCACACCGACTTCCAACACTGACACTCAAACACCACCGGGTCGCTTGCCGCCACAGGACCCCTGCTTGGCACTGTGGCCGCAAACCGGCACAGGATCCCCTTGTTGTCAGCGGCCCCGAACATTGAAAATGGCGGACCCCGGCCTCGTTTCTGCTTGGAAAATGAGTCTTAGGGCCAGACGGACATGGAGCCGACTGTTCGGTGTTCGTGGTCTCAGTCGGTGACAGATTTAGATAGCCGCTTGTCTCAGGGTTTCCTCAAACACTGTAAGAGGACCTCTGACTGATATCTCAGGTCACGACCCCACGGGCCGCCGTTCTTTTTGTGACCTACAGCCAGTTCTTCCGGTCCTTATGCCCTCCAACCACGATCGTCGATCCAACCACGATTTGATCGTCGGTTCCGATGAGCCGCCCGGACCCCTCTGTGGGCGTCATCGAACACTTTCCTTGTTTGGCTCGGGGCCCTTGCGAGCACAGAGCCCTCTGCTAGGCGCTGTGGGCCCTTGACAGAAAACAAAACCCCAGACCAGTGTAAACCATTGGCTCGGGTTTATGACTGATCGGGAAGTGGGTCCTCAGACCCATATCGACATGGAGCCGACTATGTGGTACGGTGGTTCCTGACCGACGTATAGGCCCATATCGGCTCAGGGGTCCCCGATCGGCGCAGAGGGCCCTCTGACCAATATCTGAGCGTCCGCCTTCGCGGGCCGAGGCCCCTGAATAAGACTCCGGTCAGCCCTTTATGCCTTTGGACCCTCCAGTCGGGCCTTCGATTGTCGGACCCGTGGGCCCTCTAGGCTCCTCGGGCCTCCTCGAACACTGCCCCTGGACGACTCGGGGCCTCTTGACAACATAGGGCCCCTGCTAGGCGCCGTGGGTCTACGAGCAATATTAATTGCCAACCCCGGCCTAGTCCCTGCTTTAGAAATGGGCCCTCAGGCCCATGCCGCCACGGAGCCGGCTGTGCGTTACTGGTGGTGTCGGACCGAAATATGGGCCTTTATCGACTCAGTGGGCCCCTGATCAACGCGGAGGGCGCTCTGGCTGGCATTGGAGTGCCCGGTCCTGCGGGCCGGGGACCCTGAGTGGGATCTCCGGCTGGCCCTCCGGCCATTTGGGCCCTTCGGGCCCTCAATTGGGCCCTTAATCGTAGGTTCCGAAGGGTCCTTTGGGCCCCTCGGAACATAAGGGGGCGCGTGCCCCTGTGCCCCCCTGCGTGCGCCACTGCATACGCCATAGTTTATGGCAGCTTCCATAAAGGCAGCCGCCAGGGTCGGGGGCGTGCATGGCACCGTAACAAAAGTTCCCTGGCCATGTGAGGGCCTGATGCCTTTAGAAAACGCGACGCATATCGTCACGTCCCTTGCATGGAGCGGCAGCGACTACCTTGGCCATATGAGCGCTCAGGGCCATGGTGCAACCCAGGTGCGAAACCGGACTTCCCACATGAGAGACCGACGCGTTAACAGCTCGATCGTTACGGCCCCTGCGAGCCTGTCGTCGCCGAAAGCTCTCTGGTATGTGCGGTGCAGCGCACGGATCTGATGGGCTCATGCCATGGCCGAAGCAGCGTACAGCTGCCGACGGGACAGCCCCGAGTCGATGTGCGGTCACTGCATCCTTCGTATCTCACTGGTATTAAAGGGGCAAAGGGCCTGAAAAGCTACCACGTTTTTTTAATAAAAAAGCCTTCGTGTTAAAAGCAACGGTAGATGTAAAACCGCTCGCACGACCTCCCATATCCATCATGCGTGTACGTTTGTGAACTGAGTGTCCTGCGATTGGAAGCCCTGGCGTGATCAAACCACGTCTTCCTAGTTTTGAGAGCACGTTTCGCAGTTGCTTGGCGTGAAGGGGACCTTGCCTTGTTCGCTGTCACAGCTGAGTCGAACGGTGAGCGCGGCCTTCATCCTGACCCGCTGTGTTCCGCGTCGAGGCCCGACCGGCGGTGCGGTGTCGTTTCCAGACATGTACCAGCCGTACGCCACGGACATGCCTAACTTCGGATCAGGCAGCTACTCGACCTTCTTCGAGGGCTCCTACAGTCAGCACCAGGGCGGAATGGAGGAAGAAATGGGTATGAGGTGGGTAACCTTCCCACCCGCTTTTCGATGGTGCTCCTACCTATTGAGCCTGTAATGATGATAGTCGGTGCCGCTGCGGTGCATGCGCCCCAAGCATTGAATAGCCTGAACGAACGCAGCTGCGTCTTTTGCTGCACACATCTGGATAGGGTCGCGCGTGTTGGAAAAGTAGGGATAACCGAAGAGGAGTTCCGAAATAACTTTCGTGAGAACGACCGGCTGCCGGACATTTTCGCATGTGGAGGCACCGTAACGCTGCTGTCACCACGCCTATACGAGGAGAACACCAGACATATGGCTGGTATAGCCCCGAGCACCGGACCCACGACTCGTCGCTGCCCAGCTGCCTGAGGCGTGTTCCGATGAGTTGATGTGCGGCGCCAGACTGTCTGACAGCCAACAGTGAGCGGGCCGCGGTCTCTGACGGCCGGCAGTGAGTGGGTCGCAGTCTCTGACGGCCGGCAGTGAGCGGGTCGCGGTCTCTGACGGCCGGCAGCGAGCGGGCCGCAGTCTCTGTCGGCCGGCAGTGAGCGGGCCGCAGTCTCTAACGGCCAGCAGTAAGCGGGCCACGGTCTCGGCCGGACGGCAGTAAGCGGACCGCGGTCTCGGCCCTGCTTCCTCACTGCGACGGCGAGGTGAGCGGCTGGTCCCGCCGGCAGGATGATGGGCCCCATGTCGCGGCTGCAGCAGTTTGTGGGCAGGGTGGCCAGTCACGTGGAACGCGGCAGCTATCCAGACCTTCAACCTGCCCGGCTGCATGTCCGAGGAGATGAACATCAACTTCCGCCGCTTCCTGAAGGCGATCGTCTGGGGCACGTCCGTGCAGGAGGTGAGCCTCAAGCCTGGGCTGGTGGGTGCCAGGCCTCAGCCAGTGTGTGCCCGCTCTAATTGCAGCTGGTGGGCACTACATTTCAACTGACCCATGCCAGGTCCGCCTCTGTGGCTGGAGCAGGGCAAACAGGGGGCCACAAACGCCAAACATATCCTGGGGTCGGGGATACCGACCGCGTGGTCACCTTTCATGCACGGCGCTGCATCGGAGTCACCGCGTGACGTCAAGTTGGCCACAATATCCACGTGGCGAGTGCTGCCCAGTGGCCGTGTGAGCACGGTCGGCGGTCTCCGACTGAGCCCGGCCGTCCCATCTCCGACTGAGCCCGGCCGTCCCATCTCCGACTGAGCCCGGCCGTCCCGTCTGCGACTGAGCCCGGCTGTCCCATCTTCGACTGAGCCGGGCCGTCCCACTTCCGACTGAGCCCGGCCGTCCCACCTCCGACTGAGCCGGGCCGTCCCACCTCCGACTGAGCCGGGCCGTCCCACTTCCGACTGAGCCCGGCCGTCCCATCTCCGACTGAGCCGGGCCGTCCCATCTCCGACTGAGCCCGGCCGTCCCATCTCCGACTGAGCCCGGCCGTCCCGTCTGCGACTGAGCCCGGCTGTCCCATCTTCGACTGAGCCGGGCCGTCCCACTTCCGACTGAGCCCGGCCGTCCCACCTCCGACTGGGCCGGGCCGTCCCACCTCCGACTGAGCCCGGCCGTCCCACCTCCGCCCGGCCGCAGATCCCGGGCTACGAGCGGGTCGACAGCGGCTTCGTGGCGAACCTGCAGCGGCTGATCCGTGAGCTGAGAACCGGAAAGGAGATCGCCCTCTTCGGGGAGGGCTACCCGTCGGCACTGGAGGAGAGCATGGGGTGAGAGCAGTGTGTATTGGCGTGGGGACACGGGGTGGGGGACGAGCGATCAATGGTTCACCCAAATTTTGTTGAAGTTGAACGGTGGCCTTGTGGTGAAGCATGGGTGAGATTGACTTCAGAGACGCCTGGCCCGCTCAATTTTTCGGGCGATTTTGAGCTCTGCTTTCCACTAGTGATGAGCATGATGCGTCAAATTCGCAAAAGCCACGCCAGCAGCGATGCAATCCAGCATTGCTTTTACCGTTGCCTACCAATGCACCATTGTCGATCTGATAGGCGGCATTGATGGCGGCGTCGACCCTCGTCACCATGGCGTCTGGAGATCTGTGGAAGCTGCATGTAGGAATCTCGACGGCTTAGGCGTTGCGGGTCACGTATCAAGGACATCACAGTTATATATCAGGCTTGATCTCACGGGTTATAAATCGTCCTCTTATTGTGGCAGCTATAAGACGTCATCTCTCACTCACAGCAAACTCATACACGTGTTGGACCACTGGACAGCTACGTAAGAAAAAGGTAAACCTCGATTCACGTATGCACGGCTCGTTCCCCTCTGAACCCCCCCCCCCCCCCGCCCCAGTCTCCACGGTTCGCCGCACCGGGGCGGTCTGACACCCCTGCTCACACAGCCGTTGGTTCGAGGATCAGAACGTCCATCCCATGATGCCGCTGCCCTACGACTTCTTCGAGAGCGCGCTGCAGAAGGTCGGACAACGTCTCTCTCAACTTTACCATCCAGCCGTGGGAGCAGTACAACGTGGCGAAGAAAAACATGACCATGAAGCTGCTGGGGAAGGTGGCGCGCGCGCTGCTCGCTGTTCAACCGAACCGCCGTGTTCGACAAGTTCGTCTCTGCCGCTGTTGACGTGAGTATTCGTGACGTCACGTGGGGCGACGTCACGGCGACTGGAACGCCAGGCCATGTGACCTGTGGGACCTGATCTCATGAGCAAGGACACGGCGACGGCGCGGTGATAGCGCGGCGACAGACAGCGCAATGATAGGGCGATCTCGTGCGACATATGGACGTGTTGACCAGACACGATCGAACGCGACGAATCGGTGAGAGCCGAGGTGAACCGGATGGGTAGGAAACTCGCACAGTATCGAGGTACGATGACCGGCGTACGTGCCAGTTTTGGTGAGAGCCGAGGTGAACCGGATGGGTAGGAAACTCGCACAGTATCGAGGTACGATGACCGGCGTACGTGCCAGTATTGGTGATAGCCGAGGTGAACCGGATGAGTAGGAAACTCGCACAGTATCGAGGTACGATGACCAACGTACGTGCTAGTCGGTCGGTAACGCAACACTGACTGAGACACACAGTGTGCCTGACCTCACAATGAAGAATAGCGACACGAAGTCAGAACCTTCAGATAGAACGAGCACACTAGGAAAGCGAGCATGACATCTACTCAGCATGATATCCTGAGAGGGGTAGATTCCCGCTTCGGCATGAAAGTTCCAAATCCAGTGTCAATTGCATTAGAATCAGCAAAAACGGTGCACGTTAAGGTGTTCTCGCCGTCGTGAGACGTACGTATTTCCGTTGATTGCACTAGGTTGCGCTTCTGCGCCGCACACCTGGCGAGGAGGCACGACGAGCCGCGCGTAAACGTCACGCTGGGGCGCTCGAGCGGGGACGCGTCACGCCTGCGTCGTAACGCTGCGCAGGCTGCGCCCGCCTGCGGCGTCCTCCGCCGCTTGTGACCCCGCCTGACCCCGCCTGACCCCGCCTGACCTTTGTTCCAGCTGCACCGGGAGCTGGCCAGCGGCGGTATGGCGCTGGTCGGCCAGCCGGGCGAGGCTCCGAGCCGGCGCGACACGTGCACCAGGTGAGTGTCGGCCGGAGAGCCCTCACGCCCGGCAGTCGGCACAGACCAGGCCGGTGTTGTCCCACGATGGACGCGCCATCAAGGTCTGCTGCGTTATGTGCCACCCGGGAGCGTTGTGGAGTCAGCATGTGGATCATCCTGTGTAATTGCTATTTCTAGTTGTCGGCGGTATCGTGTCCGTATGGAAATGCGTGTTTGGGAGGCTTTTGAACCGGTTGTTACCTCATGACGAGTCGCAAGTGATCGAATTACCGTATGCGAGCTTGCAGTTCGACATGTTCAGGCGCGTGCTCCAAAAATGGTTGGTGCTCTTCCATCATACTCACCAATCTCGTGTTCTCAAGGATGGTGGAGATGACCGTGAAGAAGGCACCGGTTGGAATGGATGCGCCGATGGTGGTGAAACGTACGTTCTGTGCCCAGACGAGGCGTCCACGAAAAGGTTTTGGATGAACGCGCATACAATCGGTAGTATTCATTTAATGCAATGTTCGGACACTGTCCATTGTAGGACATCATCAAAGTAGCTGGGAGCGATGCACCACTTTTAAAGGACAACAGGAGCACCATCCGAGTGTTGTTGCCAGGGGAAGCACACTGTCAGCCAAACAGCCTCATTTCCGCGTTGGCAACTCCCTCTCGTGTTACCTTTGTACATGTGCGATCGTTGACGATTTAAGTGGAGCAGATGGCAGCACCGGTCATCACACAGTCAGTCCCGGCCAAACGCGAGGTCGCCATTTGACGCCCATCTCATCTGACGCGCCGCTGCCTTCAGGTGACGGCGACATCTTCACGGTGTGCCAGTCGCCGCTGACCCACGAGTTCCTCTGGCGCAAAGCGGTCGCCTGCGAGTGCGGCGGTCCACCCCCGACCCGGATGCACTGAGCACCGACGCCGACCAGCCTGCCGCCGCCCCTCACAGGGTACCGTCCGCCGCACTCTCCGTCGACGTCGTGTTGTGACGCGGTCTCAGCGCCGTGCGTTGTTCTCTGTTGTAGATGGGGCGGGGCGGAGGCCCGAGACCCTGCCACCGGCGATAGCCAGATGTTGTTTTCTGCAGCGGGCGCAGCAGACGTGAGGCCTGGGGTTGTGTTAACGCCGGGGCCCTTGCGTTGTCCTCTGTAACATACATCAGCAGGGCTGGCAGATCCTATCTCCTGCCACCGGCAGTGCCCAGTTTTTTTTCTCTGTAGACGGTATTGGAGGAGTTTGGTTTCCATATTTTTCTACGGTGAGGCCTGGATGTGGTTCTTTGTGGGGAAAGCAGACGGGATTAAGACTCGCGAACCTGGCGCCTCCAGCAGCAGGGTCCGACGTCCAACGGCCTAGAATAGGAAACCAACCGGCCGAAACCAACCAGCCGGCCGACGTCCAAAGCCTGCAGCCTCGGACGTTGGCCGGCGCTAGGACCTGAGGTCCCACCACGCAGCGTCGGCCCGGTCAATGCGTCACTCGATGTAGCCGAAGCTGGAAGTCCGGCCCGCGCATCCAGTGATACAGACACCTGGTTGCTACCTTGGCTGCTACGCTAGTGGCCTGTCATGCGACTAGGCTACGCTGTTGTTCGGCCAGCAGCTGGGCTATGAAGCTGACGGGCTGCCCCCGCTCTGAGCTACGTTCTCGCCGCCTTATGACATGCATGGCCACGTCGGGGGCCCGGTCTCGGACCTCTGGCGGCTGTCTGGTCGTCAGCTGGACCGGTCGCCGGTCGGAGTCGGCGGCGGGTGCCGGCCGGCCGCGGTTGGTGCCGCGGCACCGCGCGTCCGGCGGCCTGGTACGCCTGGGGAACGTCGCTGTGATACTGTGGCCTGCTCGTCCTCGAGACGCTGGTGGCCGGGGCGGCACATTCTGCACGTGCACGGCACAGATACAGGCTCGTTTGGTGATTGGGACCGGCTTTGGCCATCCCGGAGGACACGGCTCGCTCTAGCCAGTCTTGTGACGGCAAGCGAAGGGTGGCCATCGAGTTCATAACTCACTCACCGGGATTTCGTTTTGTAGAAGATGTTGGTTGGAGACAGAGCTTTTTTCTTACTGTTACTGTGTGAAGATACCAAAGTGCCTGGAGACGTTGCTCGTCGGGAAGGCGTTGTAACTCACCCCAGATGCAATTAGACTCTACCTTAGGCTGACAGATCCCCGTTAATCACACCGTCGTGTCGCGCAGGTCAGCTGTTAAGCCGCGTTGAGTCTGAAGGCATATGGCACTGCACGCCGCTCATATCTCAGTGCCTCAAAGCTAACGGCGGAGCACTTATATCTGCTCGTCGTTCTTTAAAATCATTTTGCAGTTCCTTTTGGGGCAGTTTCTATTCTTTCCAAGCCTTCGCGACAGCCACGCAGCAGTGCTCACGGCGCTAATGTGTAACTGTGCGATGGCCTTACGTCAGCACAACTCTTAACTATTGGGTTTCAGGCGCGAATACTCTACAAGCGTGCGGGCAATGGGTCTCTGCTCGCTTGCCCCCTGTTCAGTTTGTTCGCGGAACGAACTCGCCTCGTGCACGTGAATGATGGCCGAAAGGCGCTCCCGTGCGTACGTTGGCGTGTGCTGCGTAGTTGTGTGCAACATCCACAACCTGCGTTTGAGCACGCTGAAGTTTTCTGTGAATCGCCTGTCAGTTCCAAATCAGTTTCTGGTTCCTGCACGGTAGAATATGAACGGATCGCCCATTGGTGTATTCGACGTGTATTGTCTTTGTTTCCACATCAATAAATACATTTGTTCTGCACAATGTGTTACGCACGACGACCAACAACGAAACATGGCTCGAAAAATACCCATTCACGTGTCCAAATACAGATACAAGAACTTCGTTTGATAAAATTACACCGATGAAAATAAGACAATTTGACGAAAATATTCTCACAGTATACGTACTTTATCCGCTCCAATATCGCCAAAACGACCACACTCCGCAAAAGGTTTGGCGTAAACTTAAGAAAAGTGCGGAAAGTCTGTCACTGCGTTTACCTCAGGCATGTGCCAACAACGGTAAATACAAATAGCAACACAGATTTGAGGCTCTCCGAGACTATCAAATCCGGTTTGGGGTTCTCTGACGGTATCACATCTGGCACATCGCACCTCCACCGCTTTGGATGCGTCATTTACCAGACATAAACCAAATACGGTCTCCGCGGACCGGGCAGCGAAAGTGCGGTCCTAATGGGGCGTGAGTCTGCATCGAATGTTGGCGAATACACGAAGATTATGGTTTGCCGCAAGAAAGCAGCAGTATCCTCGCGAAAGGGGCCGATAACGGGGTCCTCGGCTGAAAGCCGAAGCGGGGCTATTAGTATTTAGAACTGAACCGGCTATACAAGCAAACCAGAATATAATAAGACAACGAACACAGCAGTTACAAGTTCGAGATCCTACCACGCTCGGCTTAAACGGGTACGGTATGTGTTCTTTACGTCTTGCTTTCCAACCATTCCCGATGAGCCGTGGACAGCATGCCGTGCAGCATGGGCTTGAAAGTAGACATAAGCGCTCCAGATGACAGCCGTGAGCAAGGCGATGGGGCCTGGCGGGCAGGGCAGCGGTGCGCTCACAGCGCCGCGAACCTCTGCCGGCCGGCGCAGCCCGACCAAGGTGACCCGGGCGGCCGCCTCACGAACTGCACGCCGGGATGAAGTACTGCAGCGTGATATCCTCGTGGATCAGGAACAGGTGCAGCATTCGATCCTCGATCAGGTCTGCGGCAGTGGAGGCGGACGGACACGTGGAGGCTTCTGCCCAAGCCACTGTGATGACCGGCATCGGGAGGGGGGAGGGGGGGGGGGCACACCGCTGTAATAGGCCCCGAAGGCTTGCGCTGAGCGCACACGTCCCTGGGATATCCGCATGCAATGGGCGAGCGGATCAATTACAGTGAGAATCAAGCTACCCAGGTGTACAATTTCATTGTGTACTTTGTCCCGGCACACACAAAGAGATCACTCCCTAACATCACAGTTTCGCTGCACATGGCGATTGCTGGTGACATTCACACATGGCGATTGCTGGAGTGACATTCGCACATGGAGATTGCTGGTGTGACATTCGCACATGGCGATTGCTGGTGACATCCGCACATGGAGATTACTGGTGTGACATTCGCACATCACATGGCGATTGATGTGACATTCGTACATGGAGATTGGTGGTGACATTCGCACATGGCGATTGCTGATGTGACATTCGCACATGGCGATTGCTGGTGTGACATCCGTACATCGCGAATAAACTGATGAGACCCTGTCTGAGCAGAGCTTGACGACCACCCTCCCCCCCCCCCGTGTCCCCGGGCCTGATCGGATACCCATCCCAGCACTCACTGCAGACAGCTTTGGCAGGGTGGAACTGATCGCCCGCCAAGAACATGGCGAACGGCTTGATGTCCACGTGCACCTCGAACATCTGCTGTTGGTCCGCCTCCTGATCTTGGCCATGCCCTGCCCCAGCGTTTGGTATGTCAGCCGGCATCAGTACACAGACGAACCCGGTGCAGGTCCACCCAGAGCCCCACGAACCCCAGCGTTCAGTATGTCAGCCGGCATCAGTACACAGACGAACCCGGTGCAGGTCCACCCGGAGCCCCACGAACCTCAGCGTTTGGTATGTCAGCCGGCATCAACACACAGACGAACCCGGTGCAGGTCCACCCGGAGCCCCACGAAATCATGGTGCGCACCAGGTCTTCAAATGGGTGACGGACAAATCACACAACACGCTTATAAAATGGATAGGATATCACATGGAAACTAGAGCGATTTGTGATGCTTTTACGGTTCCCGAATCGAGGATTGCGAGGGAGAATACGACGCAGTCAATAGCACGCACTAACAGTAATCAAGTTATAATATCAAATAGCAAGCTGGCAAAAGCCCACTCCAAAGCTTGCGTTGTAGGAGTTGCATTCACGTGAACCCCACTCACACTGAACACACGTTATTTCTCCAAGAATACACCCCAACAGGCTCTCAAGTTCCCGTTGAAAGTATACTCGACAACGATCCCACCATCACCGCGAATCACTTTACTTCCACCCGAGCATTCATCACGGGAGCCCCAGCGGCGGCCGTGACGTGACCGTGACCCGTCCACACACGGTCGGCGGCCGGCTCACCTGCGGGGTGGGTGCGCAGGCCACAGAAGTGGGTGGCCACAGACGCCTGGTCCGACTCGACGCGCAGCAGGAGGCGGCCGGCATGGCTGGCCGACACGGTCAGGCGTGGGCCGAGCGCGCGCATGCGCTCGACCACGGGTCGCAGCAGGCGCAGCGGCGGCAGGTCGCAGCTGACCTGGAACTGCGGCATGCGCGGCTCGGCGTAGGAGGCCCAGAGCCGGCGCGGCAGCACTGCCACCGGGATGTCGTGCGTGCAGAGGCGACTCAGAGACGTCTGCGACGGCTGCCGGCGCGCGCCGCCGCAGGTCAGCCGCGTTCGGGCACACTGGGCGGGTGCAGGTGCACGGTACGGCCACACGGCTCGGGGGACCGAGCGGTCACGGGGACGTGGCTGGGGTGACGGCTCAACGGCGCGCGTCCAGCTCGGCCGGCCGGCCCCAGCTCCATCCGACCATCGGCGAGAGATCGGAGAGAGGCACGACTGGACGGCCTGGCCGGAGGCTCAGCCGAATAAAAGAAGCTGAGAGCCCACAATAACACTGGAGCACTGACTGCTCTAACTCATAGTTAAATGCCCACAAAAAGGAACACAATATATATAATAATAAACAACAGCTGATCAAATGAATCAGCATGGCATACAACTGCTCCAAAAAGGCTTGTGCACTAACAGCACTACCAGAGCATCATATGTAAAAACAGGGAAATAACAGGAATATGAAAGATGACTGCAGATGTAAGATCAACAGGCCAGTTCCACACCATATATATATATATATATATATATATATATATATATATATATATATATATATATATATATATATATATATATAGCAGGCTATAAGCTATGTGCTTATATATGTAAGCATACCATATATTGGATATAATATATACATATATATATATATATATATATATATATATATATATATATATATATATATATATATATATATATATATGCAAAATGCACATGATATACACAAGCCAAACATTTAGTTGATTTTACTCACAGACTCTATTTCAAAAGTTAGACATGCAGAGTGTTTCCTGGTGAGCTTGATCTTGAGAGATCTGACAGCAGTGCTGGATTTTAAAATGCTGAGTGTTTTTGCCAGGTTGTCTGAAAAAGGTACAGCTTGGTAAAGATAATATTTATAATATCAATGCCTCAGAACAAGCAATCAAAGGCAGAAAAGAACACATGATATGCAATACTTCAAACTTTGCTAAAATTTAAAACAGAAGCTACTAGCCATGATTCATCACTTCATACTTAAAAGCTCATCAGACAACCCAATTTACACATGGTGAATATGTCAGTTACACACTAACACAACTCTTACCTGGCTTTAATTCTAGATAGATTTCATTAAACTCTGCAGATACTCCTTCCATATTATACTCATTGAAGAAGTGACCTTGTTGCAATTCACACCACAAACCTGAAAAGAACAGACCTTTGACTCAAAAAAGACTGATATACTTTTGTTACATGCAAACTCAATCCACTAACATGTTACCTAAAGGCTATGATCAATTACTGAATGCAACACATGCTACCAGATAATAATCTATTTCAATTTACCTGAGACAGATGTGACAAATTGTTACACCTTAAAGCATTAACCAGAAAGCATGTAAATAACTGATACAACATGCCCAACAATCTACCATACAACAAAGTTACCAAAATGTAAAGCCTCTGCTTTCATATCATATTAACAAACCTGGTGTGGAGCTCAGGCTGGATGCTTCCATCACTACAAAATAGAGATGAGAAGGAGTAATCCGAAAGGTGCATACCTTTGCAAGCTTTGCCAAAGTACTGATAACAGCTGAAATAAGATAAATCATATTACATCGATGGCATCACAACACCCCAAATGGCTTGGATATATGGTATTTAAATGGGTGAAAGAGCAGCTAACACTGCTATCCTATGTTCATCACATATCCCATTCTATGTTGTTAGTGCTATCTGCCACCATCATTTATTCTATCATCATTACATCTTTGCTATCAATTTTTCCAGAGACTGTGAGTTTAATCGGTACTATATACCTTGTTCCTGTTAGGCTGTTATTTGCTGGTTTAGCAGTTCATGTAATTGAGCAAGCATCAAGCAATGCAGTGTTATTTTTGTTATAATTAAACTTCATGTAATCTATGACTGATTTTGTTTGCAGCTTTTTGCAAGTTTCATTTGCTAGGTTGTCAGTGCAAAATTTCCTGTCACCTATACATTAACTCATTAGCTTATTTCCATAAATTACTTTCATTGCGATGGCCATTCAAGCATTCTGCATCATTGAAAAGTCCTAACATTGTAAGCAGCTTCTCACTTGTAGTTTTTCAGTGTTAGCAGCAGGCACTGTGACAGTTTAATGCTAAAAAGTTGTATTTCTTGTTTAAATCATGCTATATGGTGATATATATATATATATATATATATATATATATGTATGCATAAACATATACATGTACATACATATATATGGTCATGATACCATATTATATGCTTATCATGCATGCTAACCTATTTGAGAAAACATCACATGATGGGCTGGACAGTCCATTCACAGGCATAAATATCACGGGTGCCTTTCATACAAAAATAAGCTATGAGAAAGCTCCTACAATTGTCTTTTTACCATGTATGATCCACAAACAACAACTAATTTGCTTAATTTCCTGTGGTCCACACTTCTTGCCCAGGTGAGCAGCAGGCAATGATATACAACCTCCATCTCTGAATAAGGAACAGAGCCCCATGACAGCAACAAGCATAACTTACAGGTGAACTGCTTGATGCATACTGGCCCAGAAATTTTCCCCCGAAACTTCATTTGCAAAGTTAATCAGAAATTGACAGGTCCCCACGGAGTTGTTTGCTTGTCACCAACAAGTCAGCATCACCGCCTTGCTGAGCTTCAATGCCGCAAGGGCATTACACTTAGCATGGGGCTAGGAAGGTTGGTTAGCTCGAACCGTGGATTCGGTCCAGTAATGTAAATAGAAACGAAGATATCTGAGATCGCGAGCGACCCGCAGAACCGAAAACACCGTATTGCGTTTGTCTGCGCCAGTCTATTTCATTTTTGCGCCAGTTTGGGAAATAGTGGGCAGCGCTACCACATTCTTACGTAGTGCTCCCATTTTTAAAATGTATTCATTGCCCGTCATCATTGAGAGAAAACACACCAGATTAAAAATCACCTTTGCCATTGTCGCGAAGCCATTCATATAGGAACGGGGAGGGGGGGGGGGCTATAGTGTTGTTGCAAAACGTGGACCGACAGAGCTGCGACGGCAATAGTTCTACGCGACAACGCTTCAATTGTACTTCAACTGCGAAAACTTCCGCAGCCTTTACCTACAAACGGCACTACTACTGCAGACTTAAAAACAGGGTCAAACTTTGCGCTTTCAGGGTGCGGGGGGGGGGCAAATTCATGAGCCTTATCCATTATACTTTCCAGACTCATCTCTTCGCGGATATCTTTCACTTGATTCGGTGTCATGGTTGAACCTAATGTCAGAAAAACACTCAGCTCCGGGTTTTTTGGGTGCCACCAGTCCAACGTTCTTATGCTGTGTGAACAACCTACGATATGCCACGAGATACTGGTGAAACGACGTTGTAATGATGAATAACAGTTATATTAAGCACTGCCAATATAATCATTATTTAGTACTGCTCGCCCACTACGGTGCATTGATGTCCATCAACCGATATTGTGGGAAATAAGAGCTGTGCCACAGTCCGACCCAGCGACCGACACACTTTCACCAAGCCGCCGGACAAGGCAGGCCGTCGGACCGGCCCGTCCCGAAAACCTGCGCTCAAGGTCTACGCTCGGACGCCATCGGAAGTGTCGCCGAACCGGCCCGTCCCGGGGGCCGGCGCTCAGGGCTAACGACTGTCCACCCGGAGGGCGGAGGCCTGCCGGGGGGAGGGGGGACCGCGTTCGATGTTACGAGACCCATACAACCTGCAGCTCAGCACGACCACCGCGTCGCCTCCGTCGGACGTCACAGCGTCCCTGGTAGCAACACGGCCACCGCGTGGCCACTGCCGGGCGTCACGGCGTCCCCTGCAGCTTGACACGGCCGCCGCGTGGCCACTGCCGGACGTCACGGCGTCCCCTGCGGCTTGACACGGCCGCCGCGTCGTGTCATGCGCCGCAGCGTCCTAGGCCACGCGACGGCGGGCACAGGAGCAGGGCGTCACCACTGAACGGTGGCCCAGCACAGCAACTGCGTCACTCACGCCTGGCGAACAACTGCTCTTCAGCGTCGGGTGGGCTGACACTACCCAACCGTTACCGACCACTCTCCGGCGGTATAAAATGTTTGGTTATAGAATTCGAGTCACTCGCTCTGGCCAGGATTGGCGAGGGCCAGCGCTACATGTGCTGCTGAGACTCCGTGCCTCTTCTAGCATGTAAGGACTTAGGCCTTGCATCCCGGGTTAGGCGGGATGAAATGTGACTGTCGATGGACAGTCGGTCTTTGTAGTTTTCCAGTGCTAGTACCAGTGTGTAGGTGTTGATTATATCCCTGAGTGTTGTGAGTGCTACATCTTGTTCTTTATGGCCTGCACAGCACGCTACCATTTCTATTAGCAGTCTTCATCAAATGAAAATACATGATAAGTCGTGTACCAGTATTTCAAGGAGAAAACCGGCTGGGTGTCGAACCACCCTGAGCGTATGACTAAGGGAGTAAGGAAAAGGTTTAAAGGATAACGGAACGATACAGGAAAAAAATTCAAACGCTGTTGTGTTCGTGTTCAAATTGAGCGTTGAGTTCAGCTCTCCAACAGCTGTCTTCCCAAGTCAATTCATTGAGCTACTCACGCTTCTGTAATCCTTTCTTCTCTATGTCACTTAGCTTGGACACTACAGGTTAACAAAAGGTTAAAACTTGAGTAACCTCGCATTCCTTCGTTTATCTGAGAAATCCAAAAAATGAGCATCACACCGATCCCCGCGATATTCACCTTCGTCACAACCACAGAAGCTCAATTTCTTGATAAAAAATCATGCTTACATAAAAATGGGATCCAGTGACATTTCTTCGCTCATAAAGGAAGTGCAACAAAAGGGATGTCAGTTTTTGCTCGTGATATCCTCTTTCGTCATATCTGCATTAAAATAACTTCAAAGGTCAAGGTCAAACAAAGCGCACTACACTACCATTTCTTTGTTAACGAAGAAATGCGACAAAAATGTGTCGAACTGATACGACACCCCAGAATTTATTAGTTTACCTAAGATCAACAAAAATTGTTTACTGGATATGCTCGTGGTGCCTGGTTTCGTCACACGTGCAAAAAAATCAACTTTCAAGGTGAGAGGTCAAGGTGGCACAAACCGCCGTACCGTACCCTACCATTTATTTGTTTAGTAAGGAGATACAACAATCGTGCGAATATTCATACTCATGGTGTCAGCGTTTGTTGCACTTGCACTTTTTCTAGATGTGACGTAAAAAGACATCACGAGCACAACTATGATAGACATGTTGTCCTGTTCTTTAACGAACAAATAGATACCGAAGTACCGCGTTTTGTGTGAGCTCAACGTTTCACATTGACTTTTGAGCTGGTTTTACCAAGGGAAACGAAGACGGACATCATATTGATCATTTTTATGGCCTATTTGTTGCATATCTTTTATAGATAAATGAATATCAGGAATGCGCGTTTTGTGTGACCTTGACCTTCATATTTTCCCAGTATGACAAAAGCAGGCATCTGGAGCATCAATATGATACCGTTTAAATGAATTTTTAAGTTAGCGAATACGTGCCAGAATGCCGTATTTTGAGTGACTTTACCCCCTGACCTTAGGCTTGTTTTTCCACATGTGACGAAGGCAGACATCACTTATATCAATAAGACATATATTTTCTTGTATTTCTTTGGTAAACAAATGCATGCTGGAGTATCGTTTTTTGTTAACTTGACATTTGACCTTGAAAGCTGTTTTTGAAGTGTGACAAAAGTGAACATCATGAGCATCACTATGCTATCCAACTTGTTAGATGTCCTTTGTAAACGAATACATGCCAGGATACCGCGTTTTGTGACCCCGTCCTTTGACCTTGGGTTTTGTTTTGCACATGTTCTTGAAGTGGACATCACGAGCACCAATGTGAAACCCATTTGTCGCATCTGTTTTGCAAATGAACCAACCCCAAGGTGCCACGCTTTGTGTTACCTTGGCATTAAAGTTACTTTTCTCTAGGTGTCACGAAAGTCAACCTAACAAATTTCGCTATGGTTACCGCTTTGTTGTATTCATTTCTTTAAAAAATGTCAATGTACTGCGTTTTAGATGGCCTTCATCTTCGACCCCCCATCCACCCACCCCAGAGTTTTTCCAAGTGTTACGAAAGCGGACATCGTGAGGATCAAAAGGCGGAAGCCCTCAGCTTCCGCCTTTCCACAGCTCATCCGGCGTCAAACGCATTGTCGGGCGATACAAAAGTGTATTAATATACATGTTTTACATTCGATGGCGGGTCACTGTGTATCATTAGTCGACAATTGCATCACTTAGCCGTATAAGTGAAGTAACATCCACCGTACTCGTGTGTCGGTCGAGGATCGTGCAACCCACATAAAACCGTCTAGCCATTTTTGAGCATTTCATCAGACACTATCGGGAGGTTCGCCTCGAGATATTCGCACCTAGAAGCGGTATGCACACAATGTACAGCATTTGATTGTAAATTACATCACAGACATCGTGAAAGTCGCACTTGGGGTCGGGCGTGGAAGCAACTAAACCATTCACACAATACCCTAGTGGGGAGCGGCGGGGAGCACTCCGAGCGTCCCGTATTCTAAAACCGGCCAGTCGCTACACACAGCTAAAATAAGTAGAAACGACGAAGACGCTTACTACGGAGCACCTACCACGGCGACTAAAAAACGCGCGAGCCCGCGCGGAGTCAAGTCAGGTCAGGTCGGGCTGTGTCGGGTCAGAGGGGCACCGCGGCACGTCCGAGCGACCTATGTACAGATGAGAGGGGGCGCGGCGGCGGCTAAGGCCGGACCGGGCTGACGACTGCCGGACGCCGGGCCGGGCAGCCAGCCGACCGCGGCCCCGACTAGAGGCAGGCTGACTGATATGAGGCGGCCGAGGGCGCGGCCGGCGGAGGGGAGCTGCTACGCGAGTGAAAGACAGACACATCGGCTTCACTGCGCCCGGCGGGCCAGCGCGCGCACACAACACAGATCCACGCGCGCGCGGCGAGGCGCACCATTCGCCCGCGCGCGCGGCGCTGGTCCCAGTTCAACGGCATCATTCACGAGATCCTGGGCCGGCGATCGCGGCCGTGGCGGCGGGGACGACGGCAGCGGCAGAGGCGGGGGCGGCGCGGCCGCCATTGAGATCGGAGCGCCGAGTCGGCCGGCGCGCGGCGTGGCGCGGCGCGGCGCGGCGAGCCGGTGCGCGCCCGCTCAGCGCACCGGCGCTTATCACCTAACGGCAGTGGAGGCGGCGCTGCCTCGGCCCGTGCTGTCCGGTCGGGGGAGGGGGCAGGGCGGCGAGACAATGCCCGGTCGAGGTCAGAGAGCGGGGCTAGGTCACCAGCGCCGTCACGCGTCCCACTGGTGAGGCGACGGCGGCAGTTCGCTCGGGTGCGCCACCGTCGAGCTGCAAAGGAGCGACCGGTCAGAACGCGGGTAAAATATTGAAACGAAAATCACGGCGCTGCCCTCTGCCAGTCCCATGTGCGCTACTCCAAATAATACATTATCACGATATCCGCTAAGGTGCGTTTGTGCCTTGTGATGACCCAAACAAGCCTGCCACTGTGCTGTGTCCACTGTCCAGCAGCCAAGGCAAGACAGAAACAGGGCTGCTGCTGCGTGCGGCCGACTCGAAGTTCAGCCAACATGCTAAACAAACAGCCAAAGACAGCGCGCATCTCAACAAACGTCCGCGTTCTCCGACGAGAACGCATTCTCTGTACGGGTTACCTTACCTTACCATTGCCTTCATCTTTTTTCAAACTGTCTATCTCAAACATAACTT